GACAAATTCCTTATTCCTAAAACAAATACCCGTTCCTCGGATTTGCATTATTTGAACAAACCTCGTCCATCGGACAACAACTTGTCCTTAACACAACCCTCGTCCCACAAACACAAACCCTCGTCCCACAAACACAAACCCTCGTCCCACAAACACAAACCCTCATCCCACAAACACAAACCCTCGTCCCACAAACACAAACGTCCCGAAAATCAATCTGCACCGGAGAAATCCTTGTTATTCAAACAGATTCGTGTCATTTAAACCATATCCTTAATTGTTATCATAAAAGTACTCGCATTTCATATATAAACATTTTAATAGATTTGTATTGTTGAAAGTAAAATGTGTAAAAAAATCCCAAGCGTGTAACATACATCATTGTATTACATGTAGTTAATTACATTGATTTATATCAAAGAAATGAAATGTCTGAAAATATACAATTTACACGTATGGCATAACTTTAATAATCCATTGAAATATTGTCACCTGAGAACACGAAGTTGTACAATAAAACAAGTCTTATTTTTTTTTAGATAAGATATACAACTACACAAATGCACAACGGAACAAAGTAGTTGTTACTGATTTATTTTAATTTAGAGTTATCTCGCTTTGAAGACACATTGAAGTCTCGTTCTCAATTTATTCTGATTGTTATAGATATTTCAATAGAAATACAATTAATGTCGTTAAGGGCAACAGCTGAAAATTACATAACAATATATGTCCTTTTCAAAAAATGAACTTTTCTTAGCTAAATATATTTATTTTAAAAACAAACCAATCCCCTTTTGTACCTCTCAAGGTATAGGGACTACAGTTCGGCAGTTTGAACATAAATAAATAAAACCTTTTTGATTTACCTCCCTTCGTACGTACGGAGAGTGGTTTTGCTGCACCTATAAGTTTATTGATAAGGAAAGGATAACGGACGACTTGCGTTCCGGTCGTTGCCCTCAGCATGCCTCGATTAACTGTTGTGATATGGCGTTTTATGATCCTCTTAAACCGAAATAAATCCCCACTGACCACCATCTTGTTTCTATCAATGTCACAGGAGGGGGTAAATAATGATCTGGGGTAATTCCGGGAGTCGAGAACAATGACCTCTCAGCTAGTGTGCATTGCGTTAATGTTTTTCTGCAGTTCAGAGTCATTTTTTACTTCATAAATCCGTCATAAATATGTTTTTGGAAAAGAAACTTTCAACGATACACGTGAAGTCCTATGTGAAGGATACAACAATGTAAACAAAATCCAATGTTTGTTCTTTTGTTGTTGCTGTTGAACATGAACTCTCAAATAAGAACTTTTTCTATAATTTCATATATTTTTTAAGTTAAAGGAGGTTAATTGTATCTATAAGTATTTACTTTAAAAGAAGTTTTAATGCCTGTGATATTCGATCAGGATAAAGATTAATCTACATGTACGTCCCTAACTCCTCCGATTACACGCGATCTACACGTGCTTCGATTATCTGTACCCTGCGAAAGACACAAAAACAATGTTAGACTAAAGAGAATATTAAAACATTCGATTCTATAATGTTAAAATCTACTGATTCTATAATGTTAAAATCTACTAAGTAAAGTTAGTCATTTTTGATTGTAATAAAAGAAATACGAATACAAAAAAAAGAAAGGCGTTTTTTTGTTGTTGTGCAGATTGGCTACGACAGATAAATGCTAAAACACTTTTTACAAATGATCTGATTTCAGGGATCTCTGGAATGCTAGCTACCTAAAAGAACGTGGAAACGAAAGACAGGCAAACAATGAAATGCGACTACATGAACTCCATTCTTAGTCCAACAAAAGAATACAAATGTAGATAGATTGATAGAATAAAAAACCCTCATAATATATCTTCCTGGAAATGTCAATACATTATTATCAGAACAATGAACTAAGAGGTTATTATAAGGTTACTTTGGTTCCACAATTATCAATATATGGCATATAAGGCTTTGCTATTCTGTAAGTTGGGTAATCATTTAAGGCTTTGCTATTCTGTAAGTTGGGTAATCATATAAGGCTTTGCTATTCTGTACGTTGGGTAATCATATAAGGCTTTGCTATTCTGCAAGTTGGGTAATCCTATAAGGTTTATGTAATTACAACGTGTTATAATTGAAAATGTAATCTGAACATTGTGTTATATTGTAATAATGGTAAGTTTGGATGTCTATGTCGGGTATTAATTATGTAATTATTTAACATGTAACTTGTTCATGTTATGTAACTATGACGTAATTTTATGTTTGTTAATTACAACGGTATGGTATGATTAGATTATTTGGTCATACGGTTTTATAATTCCGTTCTTAAAACGAAAACAACTCCTTCTTTATTATAAAATGGGTGCATTGTCTTCCTACACTAATATATAAAATACTGTAACTACTGTATAAGTGTTTCTATGCTATCTAGGTCGTTTTATCTTTACTGCGGGCGATTTATCTTTTACTGGGGTCATCTTAGGCAGGCGGAGAAAAGCTCTCTGAACACACTAGGTTGTGGCTCTACAAGGCGATCTGTCGTTATCGGCGGTAACTATGGAGGATCACAGGAACCATACAGAAAGCAATACTTGTCCACTGCGCATGTAAGTATTTCCCTCAATATCTGCTTTCAACCATTGCAAGAACTTTAATTATTTTCCTTTTCAATTGTGAATCAAGAGAGGGATCTTCAGCCCCAGCAATATTTGAGTACTGAAAATAATTCGAATGTAGAATCTCACCTCTTTCATTGAACTCGACAGCATATCAACCGGTGATTTTCACCTTAAGCGAGGTCTGTCATGTATGAAGTGGTTACTCATACATTTTGGTCCCTGACCATGCAATAAACGGCATTGTTAGTTCACATACTACTGTATGTATTATTGGGCCTTAGGTTTGTATAAATAAAACCTATTTAATTTTGTCGTGACAATGGAGGGAAAGATATTACAACGGCAGCGACAATTTAGACGTTTTTTTTTTTTAAATTTCGAGTAATGATAATGTAGCAGGTTAACATTTGTTCTTAATGATTGAATTACCAAACCTGAAAGCATGCAACCTTCACGTGCATCGACATTTTTTCTTTAGTAATTGGTAGCCTGCCAACTTTTATTTCACACAAACTTGTATTTAAACGCATATTAAAACATCAAAAGTCTAGATTCAGACCCCAAGACGCTTTTGATACACCAATCCTTTCTCATAAAGTGAAGTGCGGTTGTGCCAACATTATTCGTTTCTCAAATACAAGGAATACAGTTGATATTCATAAGTATTTCCGCTTGAATTGCATAACTCTGAATGTTTATAATTATTTTGGAAGTGTTCTGATGAAACTTGCACTAATGCAAACTGTGTTCAAAACCGCATACGCCTACGAAATGTCATTATGTGGCATTACTCAGCAAAATTTAAAAACATAAATTTTAAGACAAGGGTGCACGAAAGTCGCTGATAATGCACAATTTCACCTCCGTTATTGAAGAGCTATTCTGTTACAAATGGTGGACGATATTTCCACTCCTCAGTTACACACAAAGCATGGTCAGCCTTATCCTGTTTACGTGCCATTACAACTGATGTCAGTCCCGAGGCAAAATTAATTAGAATACTATATAATAAACACAAGAAAACACATATCAAAAATACAAATTTTAGTTGACTCAAGTCACGAAAAATGTATATTTATTTGCAAATTTAGCATCCTTGGCTGTTTTTTTAGGGTCGGGCGACTTGAAAGTGCCGTGTACAGACAATGAAATTGGTCATTACTTCTGGAGTTCACGATAAACATCAGCACGTGAGACACGTGTGATGTAAAACATATGTTTTTCAACACATGTTTTATCGGCAGGGGTCAACCCACTCACGCACTGCTTGCTGATGAGCAGCCAGAACAAACTAGACGATAAATACTTTTCGAATTCTACAAGCGATGACATTTAGTAGTCGTGTACAAAAATACATCCTTTTCACGAAAATGATAAAATACGTATATTATTATCAATTTATTTAGAATGAAGATAACATTTTTTTTAGATTTGTGCATTTCCCCTAACTTGGGGCTTGTTTTTGGTAAACATTTTTAATGAATGTGTTTTTTGAGATAATAAAAATGTTGTTTTAAACTTTGTTTTATTCAAATTTTGTTTGACAATACATCGAAGTACATGTTTTATAGAACAGAAAAGGAAACAAAAACAAGTGTCGTGACACTTATGAAAATTTGTTACCTGAAAATGGTGATGATCGTTTTAATAAAAATCCATGAATAAACTTAATTTCAAACAGAAATTTCAATATAATGAATACTTGTCGTACTTTGAGTTTGGGATATATAAATTGGTGGGCTTAGAAACTTAAGTTTTTTTTTAGTTGCTTAAAATTGCAGCAATTGACAGGTTTTCGGAAATCTGATCTTGATGATACTGAAAGGAGCTTTTGCATGGTGAATCTTGTCTGTTTCTCGTTCTGTAGGCCATGACATGTGTCGATGACCCCTGGAGATAACAGTCCATGGGAAAAGTAGGGTACATCGTTTTTTATGAAAGATAAAGTAACGTTTTAAAACAAGACCCGACCTAAAAATGTCGATTTCAGCGAAGTCAGCAATCAGCAGGGCAAGAGTCTGTCAGTCTTACATTAACTGCCTCCAACGGTACAAGATTGAGTTTCAACTGGAATACTTTCCGCTTGAATGCAAAAACCAACCCAGCGTTTCCAGCCATTAAACAAACCCTCTAGCCAGTGTTTCCTTGCGGCGTCATTGCTTCGTGATAAAATATCGCCTAGCAGAGGCCAGCTTCTGAGGTCACTGCCGCGGAGTCTTCAGCTTCTGTTTGCTGCAGCGGCGTATTGATAAACGAGGGTACACGTCATGTTACGCGGTCCTGTCTCGTGCGATTCCCAACCTGCAAGAGCCAGCCAAGAGCTGTTTAGTACGACGTCGCCGATTGGTCTGTTTTTGATGACTGGTATATTAAAACTTTTCGTCAGTTGTGTAGTAGTTTGAGGCGGCCCTCCTTAACGCTGCTCGACTCAGTGAAGTCATTTTTCCCAAGCTTACCCTAGGAATCCGGTGTTCCAATACTCAGATATTGGAGCACGGCTCTTCCTAGTTTCAGGAGCCGTATCCGGCTTCGGACATTACAACTATACTATCCTGAACTTTTTTCCATTCCTATATTCTTTATGAAGTTCGGGATTAAACGTTTATAAAATGGCATTTGGAACAGTTCGGTGGTCGAACTGTATACTCCCATTATTACTATGGGTGATAGGAACAGCGGCTCAAGGTACGTATGCTGATTAATATCAATTTTAAATTAACATAACTAACATGCAACTATAACGAAATGGATGTTTTGGTCATGTACCCTATTTAAGAAATACCGTAAAGTATATATATATATTACGTGAAAATAGAGCATCGAAATTCACAAATGTCGCCATTTTGTCAATTGAAATTATCTGTAGTATCTTCATAGAGGACATTGGTTTCCTGCAGTGATTTTTGTTTTCATACAAACTTTGGTATGTAACAGATATGCATGTCATACATATGTTTTGAAGAGAGAAACTTCTATGTTTGTAACACGATGTCATCTATGCAGAACTGTGTAGAAAGATAATATACATGTATGTGTCTAGTTGCGAACACATCAATACCAAAAACAACATATGTTTATACTGAGGTATCTACTACTCCTATTGTTTATTATTGATTAACGTTATTGTTACAACATATTGTTTGTCACATGGATGCTATATACACTGTATATTCATAGCGAAAACATGTACTAATTCCGTGTTCTGTCGGATCAAATTCTTAACAGGCCTGCTTGAACTAGTAAAATCCAATTTCCGACTGGATGGGACAATGCACGGTACTTGATGCAAAAATATTGTTGTCAAAGGTCTTGAAATTACTTACGTGTTCAAGAGAAAGAAGCCATATGGTGAAACTTGATTGACTAATATATTGTAGGCTTTGATTGTCTACCAAGTGATAACGCATGCTATTCACCAGTGGCAGTTTGTACGGTAAGGACGAAGAGGTATTCTGGCGTAGAAATCCGAGTTTCTTCGCAACGGTGCCACGTTGCATACATAGTAACATAAGCAGACCAGTCTTGAAAACGTGCATTCAAAATTGCATGTTTGGTAATTACTATGGCAATACAATATGCCATTGAATATACAAACGGAACATATTGAATAAAAAAAGAAAGAGTTGAATCTTAGAGAAATGTTTGTCTCGAAATAATATAGGTCAGTTGTGAAGCGGAACTGGTTGTCAATAAAAATGATGTCTATGCGCATGCGCAGTCGAAAAAATGATGACGTAAGGTTAACCGAGTTTGTTTGTGGTGAATGAATGCAACACACATACATATCTGACCATTGGTCATCGACTGGCCACCATATTTGGTAAGCATCCTCACGTGTCAAATTTAACAAGGTTCGATTGTGATTTTTTTTTTTTTACCTATTTAATTTTTTCCTGCAAATAAATTGAATTATTTGCTTCAACTGGTAACAAGAAGCTTTGTTTTTAAAGCCATATATCAAATATTTGAATTGTTTATTATAACTGATACTGTTATAATGTAAAAGATGGGTTTAATAACATGCGAGTTTTTTTAACTTGATAATGTATTAATTGATTTATTCATCTTTACAAAAAATATCGGGCCCTTCTCTTTTTGAGCGTGACTGTCGCATGGACGTTAAATCCCAATAAACAATATCGGGACTAAAATCTCCAAGTTATTTTACCAAACCATTTATATAAAATATCTGATCTGGTCGTGTTGTTTCCTCCTAATTATCCTTGTAGGGTCAATTGAATTCCATTTTACCCGCGAAATGGTGAACTCAGCTTCCGAGTTCGTCATGTGGAGAATAGGGGCTCTCCAAGGGAGAGCACACGCTTAGACTTTGAGTATATTTTGTATTTTCATGTCTAAGTTAGTATTAAACTAATCGTATAGGAGATTAAGAACAAGCTCTTTAATGTAGTTTCTTGCCTAAATATGTCAATCGAAATGAGAATTCTGAAACCCCTATGGGTGGCCTCTTCAGATTTTGAAACGTGGCACAACCTTAGACATGTGTAGCGACTACGTTATCAAAAATAGTGCTTAGTTGTCAAGTTTTAATATCGCGGAAGGCTTTCATCAATTAGATACTCTATACTATCTGTTCTCATACTGTCTGCATATTTTAGGGAAGATCGAATTCTAAAGAGATTTTCGTTGATTTAAACATGTTTTATCGATTCTGTATGGCAATGGGATTAAATATATGTTTAGTAAACGTCAGACTAAGGTAACCTTACCTAAAAAGTATGGAAGGAGGGATGTAGACTCCCTCCCTGCTAACTGCACCAATAGATCTGCTACTGAATTACATATTACCACACACAGTATGTCCTTCTTCCTATTGTTTCTTCTGTTTGATAATGAACCTCTCGGTAGTGAAGCACAAGTAAACTCAACCACACAAACAAAATCGTATAGTGGCGGGCTGTATTACTGAGATTAAAGCTACTTCGCTACTTCATTTATTTTGTTGTACGCTTGTAGCTGTAGTACTTACTAGTTTGTGTGCACAACTATCCTCTCATAGCTCAACTTGGGCATATTTAAACACATAAACTCTTTTGTAAAATACATTAACCACCTGGTAATATTATAATAAATTACAAATTATCTACTCACATATGTTGGCGTCAGAGTTGTGTCGACATTTACTAATTAAGTAACATACTACAAGACAAATATTGAGGGTGTTATTAAGTTGATCTACTTTCCGTAATGCCTCAAAAAGTGTTCATGTCTGCGGGTTTCAAGCATCATTAAAAAGGTGTGTTGCTGAAAACAACGATTCAGTAACTAATGGAAAACACGAGAAATATAGCAATGATAAATTGTATGGTTAGGGACGAACTGCAGAAGTTTATACGTGTGTAAATCATAACTAAAGTAGTGAACGCTAGCATTATTCCAGTCCAAAAGTTTATACATGATCCAGAGGTTTACAAATGTGTTTAAAAACACTAGCATTATTAAGATCCAGAAATTTATACAGGTGTGAAACATACCAAAAATTGTGGACGCTAGCGCTATAAAAAGATCCAGAGATTAAAAGAAGTTGTAAAATAAGTCTTTTGGAGCTTGTGTTGTCTGATAAGTCAGTGCCCAACAAAAAAAAAGAGATTTTTTACGAGTTTTTGGTGAAATAGAATACACCACAAGACCAAGAGCAGGTCTGCGATGAAGTCGTGTTACACGAAGGTGCCGATATAACTGGCACTGTGTTATCTTCAAAAACCTAGCAACGGTTTCCTTCCCCCTCCCCACTCCCCTCCCTTGAGCTCAACTAATGCTCCCGGACGTGTACACGTGTGCGGTATATAAGTATTGCCACGTCAGCGACGCATACGCTTTTAGTTTACTCATACATAAGTTGAAATTTAAATGTATATTGCAAATTTTGACAAAAGATTTATGACATCTTTAAGCCGATAAACGGAAAAATGATGCTTTAATTTCCCGTATTGGCTGCAGGGTTTTGATAAATAAAGACACAAAAAGTAAATAATCAGATGATTTATGTTTGCTTTGAGTTCTTTTTAAGATATTTTGGCGATTGCTAATGTAACGAATTATAAATACTGTTAGTTATAAACCGATTTTGAAAAAAACCTTTTTGCAAACATCAGCAACAATGTAATATATATATATATAATATTTTGTGATTCTAAATATGAGTAGGAAGTTGGTGGCCAATATGGTGCATACAATAATAAGATATAAAGTGTTTGATCAAATTATTATTAGTCGCGAAATGTAATAAGTATACAGCAAGCAAACGTTAAATATATGTTTATAGTATTAGGTGTATAACATTGTATATACAGGTATAGTATATGTTTATAGTATTAGGTGTATAACATTGTATATACATTTATAGTATATGTTTATAGTATTAGGGGTATCGCATTGTATATGCATGTATAGTTTATGTTTATAATATTAGGTGTATAACATTATATATTCATGTATAGTATATGTTTATAGTGTTAGGTGTATAACATTATATATACATGTATAGTATATGTTTATATTATTAGGTGTATAACATTGTATATACTTGTATAGTACATGTTTATAGTATTATGTGTATAACATTATATATACATGTATAGTTTATGTTTATAGTATTAGGGGTATCGCATTGTATATGCATGTATAGTTTATGTTCATAGTATTAGGTGTATAACATTGTATATGCATGTATAGTTTATGTTCATAGTATTAGGCGTATAACATTGTATATACATGTATACTTTATGTTTATAGTATTAGGTGTATACCATTGTATATACATGTAGAGTATATGTTTATAGTATTAGGGGTATCGCATTGTATATGCATGTATAGTTTATGTTCATAGTATTAGGTGTATAACATTGCATATACTATACATGTATATGCAATGTTATACACCTAATACTATAATCATATACTATACATGTATATACAAGGTTATACACCTAATACTATAAACATAAACTATACATGTATATACAATGTTATACGCCTAATACTATGAACATAAACTATACATGCATATAGTATTAGGTGTATAACATTGTATATACATGTATAGTATATGTTTATAGTGTTAGGTGTATAACATTATATATACATGTATAGTTTATGTTTATAGTATTAGGTGTATAACATTGTATATGCATGTATAGTTTATGTTCATAGTATTAGGTGTATAACATTGTATTTACATTTGCATGGCATTGTCACTATATAGCCTCTTTGAAAGCTGTGTCGTTGATGGGACTTTAATTACCATGCATCACGAGACACAATTCTTAGCGTATTAATACAACACTGACTGGAACTACAATATCCAATATAAATAAACATGACGGCTGCTAAAGTATCGCTGGCCATTGTGAGATTCGACAATGCCATTGTAAATTTATGTGCAAAATAAAAAATAAAATAAAATAAAACATATTTTTTCAATGAAAACAAGACCAATGTCTGCAATATCGTACAAAATGCACATCGGTTATCAGAAATATCGTCTGTTACACTGCACTGATCAACAGGGGTTCGTTACAAATGTCTGAAATACACATATTCTATAGACCTACTGACACATATGTTACAGACCTACTGATATGAGTCACAGCACGCATAAACATTTCAGACATTTGTAACGAACCTGTGCTCCGTCGCAAGATCACTTACTTCAAACGCTACTGTATCAGTTTCACGCGTCTCGTATCCACCATTCCTCAGTTTCTGACGACATGTCAAATAACGAGGATGCTATAGAATCTACCGACTGTTGTCAGGTTCCCATACAATCAATAAATACATTCACGCCTGGATTCTTCACAAAATGAGCAAAGAGAAAAGTTCGAATTAACCTCCAAAAATAACTCCATCGTGGAGGGCAAGGTCGGATTTACGGTGTTCACTGTATTTGTCCATGCGCGAAATTTGTTCCGGGGAAAAATCGAAACAATTTCAAATCTAACTTTCAGTTCAGAGTCCTATTGATAAACTTAAATCACCCTATAGATATATCATACGCAATTGTATTGATACTAAATTGTGGAATAAAATTGAAGTGTTTGTTACAATTTCAAAGTACTACTTTGTGTGCCAATCAGGACGCGACAATACGCTGTTCAAACTATTGAACAAAATTGTGTGGATTGTCGATAAGGCGGGCATTTTTATTTTTAGATATAAATTATAAGTTAAAAAAAGAACATAAGCGGCAGAGAAAACGTAAATATAAGTATTGAACTGTTTTTGTATGGTATTTATGATCTATTTGAATGACACAGCTTTGCAAGCAAACAAATCATAATGCGCTAGTTTCGGAGCGATCCGCTCCTTTTTCAAGACACAGTGAAACAGAACAGTTACATGTACATATACATCATATTACAAGAAGATAAAACTGATATACATGTACTATAATTGAAAATATAGCTATTTTATAAAACCAATAGTCCCCTCGGCTTAGGACAGTATAGTATTAGGTGTATAACATTGTATAAACATGTATAGTATATGGAGTATAATTTTTATATTTAATATGTAGTAAATGACATTGTATAAACACTATGTGGAGTAAAAAAACCAACACTATGTGATGTATAACATGGTATGCATACACTGTTTTGTGTGTAACATTGTCTAAACGGTATGTGGTTTATAACAGTGTATATACACCATGTGACGTATTACTTGTACATTGTATGTACCTTACTATTATCGCTGAATAACATTTTTATATATTTATTATTTTGAAATCTTTTACGTTACATTACAGAGAAGACATCATGCAGCTTCAAAGGAGATATTGTTCTAGATGGACAGATTGTGAAAGGTCAAGACCGCTGTTCAGAATGTGTTTGCAAGTCAGGGGTAATCTCATGTTATCAAGTGGATGAATGCAACATCGGTAGGTTTTCATATAAATAGCATTATTCTCTATAACTTATGTCCATAACCTAAGTGCCTAACTTACGCCAGTCTATGCTTACTGTATTCCATTGCTTTTCTGTGCAGGTTTAGGGAAAGCTAGAGAAAGTGATCTCCTACCCATATTTTTGCTTAGATTTTACTTCAATGTTTTTTTTCTTTCTACTGTTTGGCCTTGTATGACCTTGCATGACCTTGTATGACCTTTCTGTATTGATGGGTATTTACGATTTAGTCAAATAATATGTATCTTATTCCGCAACCGCTGTCACATGATCTGAATTCAAATATTTAGAAATTCTTACCTAATGCCTCCTACTATTTATATTCCTGATCAGAACCTCAACAATATTTAAATAGTTTATGTGGAATCAATTTCATTTGATAAACTGAATATCAGATACAAACACATTAATTTCTTTAATATTTATAATAATATCAGAAAGCCGGTGCATTTTTGTTATTGGAGCTGTTTTTGTATCGATATCAATTTGATTTAGAAAGGACAAGTTTATGATAAAAACCGTAATCATAAACGGTCAAGATTATTTAATTAGAATGCCGCTTCTAAAATGTTCACATGGATTCAATATCTCCTTTTATCTGCATTTAATTATAAAGAGTGTACATCTTGTAAAACATTGAACCCCTCAGACCTCAATATCAGAGGACATATGTCGAGCATGAATTATTTATCCACCAATGCCGCAAAGCACTTAATTGTAAAACATAACAAAAAAAACACCTTTTTATGCTTTCGTATACATTCATGGTATTTTTCTGTATTAGATAAAAAGTTTGTATTTTTACGATTGCAACATCTCGTGAATTAAGCTAAAATTAGATGATCACCTGATATTGGTATGCCGTTTTTATGACTGAATGAACCAGCACACCAGGTCTGAGAATTATGACTTATGACATGCTACAACCTCTCTTCTAAATATTCAAGTGTTAAGGAACTTTGAGCAATTGTCTCGTGTTTACTTTTAATTGTACATTTCAGTCTCCAAAATTTATTTGAAATATTCACGTTTAACAAGCAGATTTGCAGTTTCAGGGACAGAAAGGGGTTCTCGTTAAAATAGAGCTACACCCAACTCATCGGATCGCATGTATTGACACATCGGCGTTGTTAGCTGTTACCGTCTCAGAATCTGTGTTAGATCACATCGCCAGTAAAAGAAAAAAAATCATGTTGTTATGTTTCTGATAGAAATAAATGTTAAGTCTGATAATGTTTCTAAAGGGAACATGTTTTTTTTAAAAAATAACACATAAATACTACAGTTCATCGTATTTTTTCAAAACTTTGACGAAGATTCCATAGAAAACCACTTTGCAGTTTCTAAAACAACAGCTAATAACTACACTACTGCTACATTATACTAAAACAACAACTAATAACTACACTACTGCTACATTATACTAAAACAGCAACTAATAACTACACTAGTGCTACATTATACTAAAACAACAACTAATAACTACACTACTGCTACATTATACTAAAACAACAACTAATAACTACACTACTGCTACATTATAAGGGTAGGCGTTGTTTCTAAAGAGAAGCACGTACAATACTACGTTACTAGGGTTGATGTCATTTGTAAATAGAACTACGTATAATACCTAAAGCTACACTTAGTGCTAGCTTACTCTTAGCGGATATTTTTGAAATTACAGACTTTGAAGACTTAAATAAGTAGTGTAAGTCAGTTCCCAACATATCCCCGCAGACTAATGCTAAACTGTACACAAATACTGCTAATGGTTTCATTTTGTATTCTTAGTTTTGCCAAAGACTAGTCGTCTCTATCATACCCTATTATGATTCAAAGAAGAAGGTTGAAATAAATCTATTTTTTATTTTTTTTATTTATTTCAGAAGAAACAAATAGACAAGTTGTGAGTATACATTACAGTAACTACATGTATATCAATGAAATTCAAAGTGGAATCGTTATATTGGTATAAGGAGTACATAGTGCCTTTCAATTGTATCAGGATGCATGTGGCACACTCACATATGTTAATGGTAAACGAAATTTGATAATAATTGTCAGATTAATCTTGTATAAATGTGATATACATTCTGATAGATTTGTTTTATTTTATTTTGAATATATATTACTTCGTACAAGGTCAATATATATAATATTTGTATGAAAGAAAAATATAATCATGTCTATTCGCTGTTATACTTAATCGATTTCCCAATGAAAATTTTGACATTTTCCTCATTAATGGCCATTCTTTTTCAGGGAGATTCAGTCAGGGAAGTTGAGGCTTCCGTAAGTAAAAAAAAACATTTTCTTAAATTCAAATAGATTCACTGCTTTCTTTTAAATTATTAGTACATTTAGTATGCTCGTTTGAAATAAATATTTTACAAATGTTTAAAAAAAAATCCCCATATTCTAACTTGATGAGTGATGTAAATTGAGAAAGGATGAGTCGCTATTACAGTGTTATTCGTTGTTAATTGTGAACGATGGATTGTGTGTTTACTGCTTTATATTAGTATGTACTTATACCTTCTATTAATGTATCAAGGACAGTTACAATACACCTATAATACGTGTTTGCAGGTAGTTGTAGACCATAAGCGGAAATGCTCTTACATATTTTTTCTGCATTTTGACTCTTACTGATAAGACCATGACCTATTTTTCATTTAGAAATTTAAAAAAAGAATTGTTTTGTACTACATGTATTACTGCAAAAGATCAATAAAGACATTACATTAAATTACTAAGCTACAGCTTCATTTCATAAATCACCGTTATGCATCCAACCCATATTTATTGTAAATGCGGATCATGATTTATATTCAGTTAAGTAGGTATATTTTCAAGTATATTACAATTACCAGCTTTTCCTCAGCGAGTAGACGGTATATGAAAGCTCTCAGGATTAAATGCAAATAATGATCAAGTTTTAAAAGTTCGCTATCTTGTTTATCCAATAGCTCAAACATAAAATAGAAACTAATTTCTCTTACTTTATCAAAGATATTAAAAGTCTCTGATTGGGATAAAATGCAGTATATGATGTCATGATTTATTTGTGACGTCACAATCCCTCGTGCTATTTCACCAAAGGAAATTAAAATAGATTCATAATAAATAGATATAACTGTATAACATCCCATTAAATTGTCAATCAAATTCAGGTTTACCTTATTAACTCTTCTGGAGAAAAGAAATTATAGTATTTTGATAATGATAATTCAGTAATATCACACTGAGTGACGACAGTAACCTGACATTTTTATTTTTTCAGGGACACCAAGGACAGCCGGGTTATTCAGGATTCGTGGGTAAAACAGGAGCGATGGTATGACATTTACTGGTTAATTATAATACATCACCATACAATAGTATGACATTCACTGGTTAATTATGATATATCACCATGCAATGGTATGACAGTTACTTGTTAATTATAATACATTACCATACAATGGTATGACATTCACTGGTTAATTGTGATATATCACCATACAATGGTATGACATTCACTGGTTAATTGTGATATATCACCATACAATGGTATAACATTCACTGGTTAATTATGATACATCACCATACAATGGTATGACATTAACTGGTTAATTATGATATATCATCATACAATGGTATGACATTCACTGGTTAATTATAATACATCACCATACAATGGTACGACATTCACTGGTTAATTATGATATATCACCATACAATGGTATGATAGATGACATTTACTGGTTAATTATGATATATCACAATACAATGGTATGATAGTTACTGGTTAATTGTGATATATCACCATACAATGGTATGACATTCACTGGTTAATTATGATACATCACCATACAATGGTATGACATTTACTGGTTAATTATGATATATCACCATACAATGGTATGACAGTTACTTGTTAATTATAATACATCACCATACAATGGTATGATAGTTACTTGTTAATTATAATATATCACCACACAATGGTATGACAGTTACTTGTTAATTATAATACATTACCATACAATGGTATGACATTCACTGGTTAATTATAATATATCACCATACAATGGTACGACATTCACTGGTTAATTGTGATATATCACCATACAATGGTATGACATTCACTGGTTAATTATAATATATAACCATACAATGGTACGACATTCACTGGTTAATTATGATATATCACCATACAATGGTATGACATTTACTGGTTAATTATAATACATCACCATACAATGGTATGACATTCACTGGTTTATTATGATACATCACCACACAATGGTATAACATTTACTGGTTAGTTATAAAACATCACCATACAATGGTATGACATTAACTGGTTTATTATGATACATCACCATACAATGGTACGACATTCACTGGTTAATTATGATATATCGCCATACAATGGTATGACAGTTACTTGTTAATTATAATACATCACCATACAATGGTATGACATTAACTGGTTTATTATGATACATCACCATACAATGGTATGACATTTTCTGGTTAATTCTGATATATCACCATACAATGGTATGCTAGTTACTGGTTAATTATAATATATCACCATACAATGGTATGACAGGTACTTGTTAATTATAATACATCAACATACAATGGTATGATAGTTACTGGGTAATTATAATATATCACAATACAATGTCATACCATTGTTTGGTGATGTATTATAATTAACAAGTACCTGTCATACCATTGTATGGGGATATATCATAATTAACCAGTAAATGTCATACCATTGTTTGGTGATGTATTATAATTAACCAGAAAATGTCATACCATTGTTTGGTGATGTATTATAATTAACAAGTAACTGCCATCCCATTGTATGGTGATATATTAAAATTAACCAGTAAATGTCATACCATTGTATGGTGATTTATTATAATTAACCAGTTAATTATGATATATCACCATACAATGGTATGACATTAACTGGTTTATTATGATACATCATCATACAATGGTATGACATTAACTGGTTAATTATGATATATCACCATACAATGGTATGACATTCACTGGTTAATTATGATATATCACCATACAATGGTATGACATTTACTTGTTAGTTATAATACATCACCATACAATGGTATAACATTAACTGGTTAATTATAATACAGCACCACACAATGGTTTGACATTCACTGGTTTATTATGATATATCACCATACAACGGTATGACATTCACTGGTTAATAATGATATAGCACCATACAATGGTATAACATTCACTGGTTAATTATAATATATCACCAAACAATGGTATGACATTGACTGGTTAATTATAATACATCACCATACAATGGTATAACATTTTCTGGTTAATTATAATACAGCACCATACAATGGTTTGACATTCACTGGTTAATTATAATATATCACCATACAATGGTATAACATTCGCTGGTTAATTATGATATATCACCATACAATGGTATGATAGTTACTGGTTAATTTTAATATATCACCATACAATGGTATGACATTCACTGGTTAATAATGATATATCACCATACAATGGTAACACATTTACTGGTTAATTATGAAACATCACCATACAATGTTAGGACATTTACTGGTTAATTATAATATATCACCATACAATGGTATGACATTTACTAATGGTATGACATTCACTGGTTAATTATAATATATCACCATACAATGTTATGACATTCACTGGTTAATAATGATATATCACCATACAATGGTAACACATTTACTGGTTAATTATAATACATTACCATACAATGGTATGACATTTACTGGTTAATTTTAATATATCACCATACAATGGTATAACATTCACTGGTTAATTATGATATATCACCATACAATGGTATGACATTCACTAGTTAATAATGATATATCACCATACAATGGTATAACATTTACTGGTTAATTATAACATATCACCATACAATGGTATAACATTTATTGGTTAATTACAATATTTCACCATACAATGGTATGACATTTACTGGTTAATTATAATACATCACCATACAATGGTATAACATTTACTGGTTAATTACAATATATCACCATACAATGGTATGACATTCACTGGTTAATTATAATAAATCACCATACAATGGTATAACATTCACTGGTTACTTATGATATATCACCATACAATGGTATGACATTCACTGGTTAATAATAATATATCGCCATACAATGGTATAACATTTACTGTTTAATTATAATACATCACCATACACTGGTATGACATTTACTGGTTAATTATAATATATCACCATACAATGGTATAACATTCACTAGTTAATTATGATACATCACCATACAATGGTATGACATTTACTGGTTAATTATAATACCTCACCATACAATAGTATGACATTCACTGGTTAATTATGATATATCACCATACAATGGTATGACATTTACTGGTTAATTATAATACATCACCATACAATAGTATGACATTCACTGGTTAATTATGATATATCACCATACAATGGTATGACATTTACTGGTTAATTATAATACATCACCATACAATGGTATGACATTCACTGGTTAATTATGATATATCACCATACAATGGTATGACATTTACTGGTTAATTATAATACATCACCATACAATAGTATGACATTCACTGGTTAATTATGATATATCACCATACAATGGTATGACATTTACTGGTTAATTATAATACATCACCATACAATGGTATGACATTTACTGGTTAATTATAATATATCACCATACAATGGTATGACATTCACTGGTTAATTATAATACATCACCAAACAATGGTATGACATTTTCTGGTTAATTATAATATATCACCATACAATGGTATGACATTCACTGGTTAATTATGATATATCACCATACAATGGTATGATAGTTACTGGTTAACTATAATATATCACCATACAATGGTATGACATTTACTGGTTTATTATGATATATCACCATACAATGGTAACACATTTACTGGTTAATTATAATACATCACCATACAATAGTATAACATTTTCTTGTTAATTATGATATATCACCATACAATGGTATGACATTCACTGGTTAATAATGATATATCACCATACAATGGTATAACATTCACTGGTTAATTATAATATATCACCATGCAATGGTATAACATTTACTGGTTAATTATAATACATCACCATACAATAGTATAACATTTTCTTGTTAATTATGATATATCACCATACAATGGTATGACATTCACTGGTTAATAATGATATATCACCATACAATGGTATAACATTCACTGGTTAATTATAATATATCACCATGCAATGGTATAACATTTACTGGTTAATTATAATACATCACCATACAATGGTATGACATTTACTGGTTAATTATGATACATCACCATACAATGGTATGACATTCACTGGTTAATTATGATATATCACCATTGTATGGTGATATATCATAATTAACAAGAAAATGTTATACTATTGTATGGTGATGTATTATAATTACCCAGTGAATGTCATACCATTGTATGGTGATATATTATAATTAACCAGTGAATGTCATACCATTTACTGGTTAATTATGATACATCACCATACAATGGTATGACATTCACTGGTTAATTATAATACATCACCATACAATGGTACGACATTTACTGGTTAATTATAATATATCACCATACAATGGTAACACATTTTCTGGTTAATTATGATGCATCACCATACAATGGTATGACATTTACTGGTTAATTATAATACATCACCATGCAATGGTATACAATTTACTGGTTAATTATAATACATCACCATACAATGGTATGACATTCACTGGTTAATAATTAGTATTGCATTAATGTATATCAATTTCATAAATGCTGAAATTAATACATCACCATGCAATGGTATACAATTTACTGGTTAATTATAATACATCACCATACAATTTTATAATTCGCTCTCTCTTGCAAGCAGCTCTATCACAGCTTTTCGTCCGCTATCATCCATGTTTTAAACTTAAACTTCCCTGCACACAAAAACCTTCGACAATTTAGAGCTGATCTCGTGGATTTAGATTTTTCCTTCAGACCCATATCTTGAATGTGTCCTTAAGGTAATAGGATTGTGTCACCATTTCTCAGTAGAATTTATTGAAATTTTGTAGTTATATTGCTTTGAAGTAAAGAAAATTGTCTGCCTCAAAAACGAATATAGGTTGTCGGAATTTTAAGGATTTTAAATGGAAATTTATATAAAAAGGATTGAATTTTGAAAAAAAAATTGAAACACGCATTCTTTTTGCAAAATAATGTCAATAAAAATGATACTAACATAGATTAGTATTGCATTAATGTATATCAATTTCATAAATGCTGAAATTGTGTAAAAATAATCATTTATAAACGATTAAAAATTGACATTTGATAATAAAACCATATACACATAGTAATTGCATGGAAGAGTTATCGTTCTTAAAAAACTTCACAGTAGTGAAATAGGTAGCCAGTTTCCTGAAGTACAGAAAAATGAAAACATGTGCCTCATTGATAAAAATATTCCTGAATTAATGCCTGGATTGCTTTGCAATACTTAAATATTGAAAAAACACACTGTTCTGTCAATAAAAAGCATACAATATTCATCAGATTAATATTAAACATTAGAATATGCGGAAATTGTGATACTGTTTCCCGACATTGGATTTTCAACTAGGGATGTACTTCCTATTTCCGTTTAGTAATACACTCCTATGACCTTAAGTGTCACACGGTAGCATATTAGCTTATCGAGGGTATTTTGTTTACAATACTTGATGTTATTGTTTCTACTAGTAATTTGAAAAGCAATATCAAATACTGAAAAGAGTTAATAAAAGATAATGCTAGTAATACTATTTATTCTATTTCTTTTTCACGAAATAAACAATGTTCCCTCATACTTCATACACATTACAGTAGTACACTTTTCTGACGGCGACGGCTGAACATAACAAGAGTATTTCACAGAGATAAAGAGTGCGCGATAAACAAGGAGTCAGAAAGTCCCCTACATGTTAGTCTTTCAATTTAGAATCTTGTCTGCTAACTTTGCGGCTGAGAAAAAGGTCCCGATTACAAGAAATTCTTGACTGGTTCAGTTAATTGATTTTACCAGACTTATTTGTACTTTTAAAAAGGGGTCAGATATATCCCGCTTGAAAGAAACCATGTCGATAAACTTAATTAGTAAGGCTGAGGTATTTCACCTCATAGTTATTCTCTTAATTCATTGATTTTTTTAACAGGGGCCAACAGGACGTAATGGAGCCAACGGTGTGCCGGGGTCCCCCGGATCACCAGGTGTTCCCCAGACGGTATGTATCAACCACGTGATAGTCTGTCTTGTCTAGCTTATCATACTACTAATCGTTCTCATATCAAAAGTCTAAAGTGGTGCCAATTATGTGTTGATCGGTTGCTATGTCAATATATAGGCGGGTAAGATACACTCACAGATATTGTTTTTAAAAACACCACACTCATAATAAATTCGCATGACGTTGCCACGATATCAACCAACAACAAAAGTATAACAAACAATACTTTAACTGTCATTGCGCGATTGTCAATGTAATCAGTTTTTGTCCGCTTCATGCATTTCTTCAGTAGTGCAATTGTCAAATGTATTGCATATTGACATCTCAAATCAGTACTTTTTTATATGTATATATGTCATTGCATAAATACGACGTACTTGTGGAATATTTACTATTTCTTAAAATATTGATCTATAATGGACCATTGATGAGATACATTGTTATATGATCTAACAAAAGAGATATTAATAAAAGGTCGATCTCAAACTGATACAAAACTTTCATCGCAACAGTAAAATAAATTCAGTGCACATCGTCTACTTGATGGGGTATCTATAATCTATATAATCACAATTTGTGAGAGTAAGATGGTGTCAAAATATCGCTGAGCTTAAAAACACCTCGTCAGTTTTTTTATTCTAACACCAGGCAAAACAAAAAAACAAAAAACAAAAACCTCGTATCAAGTTTTGGTTCCAAATTGTTACACCGGTAACATATCTGTCGACGGACCTATAGCATTTACAATATATTTGTGTCCTCCGAAGGTTGTCGGCTTACGTAATATCTAACACCTTACCAATGATTTATTTGGACTGAAGCGATCAACCTCGACTCATCCTTGGTTATATTACCATATAATTACCATCTACAATCTTCCTTCATTTACAGCAAGCTGATGAGGCATTCATGCATTGGGCACAGGCCTACCCACAAAAGGCTGGCGGGTACGCCCAGGGACCACGATACCTGCAGGCCAATATCGTACGTACCATATTACCAAATATTAGAATCTTGTTATTCTTAATGCTTTCGACTAACTTCAGCTTTCATCTGTTTAATTCCAAACATATTCATGTACGTTAACGTGTATGTTTTATTTGTAATAGTGCATCTTTTTCATCACTTGATATGTTTAAATATAAACAACAAAAATGATTCTAACTCTATTCTTTTTTCAAATGAATTGATTTTAAAAATGTATTTAATATGAATTATCTACTGACCACTCGTGTTACAGGGACCATCTGGACCCCGCGGACCAACAGGACCCCCGGGACAGCCCGTGAGTAACGCGAATGACTGGCATCATTCATACGTCTGTAAAAAGAGTTTCTGTTGTCCTGTAGTAGTAATTGACTAAAAAAGATTTTTTGATATAAAATGATGATATGGCCATATTGCATATTTTGGAAAGTTGTTTCCCTTTTTCGATAAAAAAACTGACATATTTCAATTATTTGGAAGATGATTATTTTTGCAAATTGAAACTTTTTTTTGACACATTATTAGATAAGAAAATTAATTTTGGATTGAACAGGTGATTTCCTTACTGCAGCATATGAAGGTTTTTCTGATTGATATGATTACATTATCATCTTACAAGATATTTATTATTTTGCGGTTGATAAGATTATACCTTTGCGTTATTGAAGAGTTATTATTTTTGCGATTGATAAACTTATATGTTAACGTTCTATTTGAGTGAATATCTGGCTACCTCTAAGTTTCATATCTCAAATCTCATTTTGATTTATTTGCCTTAAGTTTCCTTACATAATCATACATATCATTTTATCTTTATGAAAGAAATACCGGCCTATACTTTAAGCTGAAATATTCCTTCCTTACATTAATATTACCACAATGAAGGTTTATTGCAAATAAAAAATCTTGTTAACGTAGATTGTATATTCGCAAAAAAGTACCTGTCACAAACATAACTGTGTATATGTTATGTCTGTTATGTATACACATATAAACATTACTGTGTATATGTTATGTATGTTATGTATACACATATAAACATAACTGTGTATATGTTATGTCTGCTATGTATACACATATAAACATTACTGTGTATATGTTATGTATGTTATGTATACACATATAAACATTACTGTGTATATGTTATGTATATTATGTATATACCTATAAACATTACTGTGTATATGTTATGTATGTTATGAATACACATATAAACATTACTATGTATTCAATTCAATTCAATTCATTTATTAACTTTCGGCCTTACGGCCGATCAGTACAAACATATCAATACAATGCATAATATACACAACAACATGGCTCACAATACACAGTGAGAGAGTGGAGTAAATAAATTAGATTCTTAACTTATTGGCTTCAAAAATATATTTACCAAGTTGACATAATTCCTTAGTATTGTTGACACACAATAATTGTATAAATTTAAACATGGATGGCTTTTTCCAATAAACTTTTTAATAAGGCGACTTCTTAAGTTTTGGAAGGTTTTACATATCAGAATAAAATGGTATTTATCTTCGACGTCTGTAGCCGAATTACAGTTCGTACAATATCTCTGTTCTCGAATAACGTTGCGATATCTACCGGTCTCGATTGCCAATGAATGTGCAGACATTAGTAACTTTGTCAGACTAATTCTATAATTCTTAGGAATATATTTGGTTAAATGATACTGAATGGAAAAGTGGTCTACGATACACTTGTATAAAAAAACACTTAGAGGAAGTCTCTAATAAACCTCTTAAATGTTGTTGACCTTGGTCAAAAATTCTTTGACGAATAAGCGGTAAAATTAATTTAACATTAGTCGACGATTGGCTTAACCATACATCACCAATGCCCAAAGCAAATAATTCCTTTTTTACATGGTGTACCCAGTTAAAGCAAGTGCATGTAATCTGTTTTGATAAAAATGAACATGCACAGTTCAGAATACAATTTTTCGAGTCGAGTAACTTAAACCAATACTTAATGATTCTGTATTTTCTGATACATTCTAAAGGCAGGCGACCAAGTTCGAAATACACCATTGCATTACATGTGGATTTTTTAACTTTGAGGAGTCTCTTACAGAAATTCAAGTGCACATTCTCAATGTCTATTCCTTTTATGGATCCCCATACTTCACATGCGTAACTTAATATGCTAATAACATAGGTATCAAAAAAATGTAACATGGTCTTAAAATTAAGACTAAGATTGGAGCATTTTGATAATAAAGCAAACATAGCTTTACGACCTTGGTCAGCTAATTGTTTCTGAATACTATTGAACTTATTGTTAAACTTAAATTGCACACCTAGGTACCGGTATGTAAATTGATCAACACAACTAACCGTTTTGCCATTATAAAACCAAATTTCATTATTTCGAACTTTCCCGCCTTTTCGAAAAACCACAATTTTTGTCTTATCAATATTGACAGTTAATTTCCATTTCTCAGAATAACTAGCGAGATTATCCAACAGTTCCTGTAAACCCTCAACCGTCTCCGATAACAACACTAAATCGTCTGCGTATAGCATAAGAAATAAGCTTAATTCTCTAAAGGTATAATAGCTACTACAATTCGAGATAAAAAACGATTCAAAATCATTCACATACATGGAAAAAAGTATCGGAGACAGAATTTCTCCTTGCAATAATCCGACATCATTATCAAAAAAGTCTGAAAATCAGCCTTTGAATTTTACAGAAGACCTAACATGATTATATATAGACTTGATGACTTGCAGCAGCTTCCCTCTTACTCCCAACTTCGATAACTTATACCACAAGTTGATCCTATCAACGTAGTCGAACGCCTTTCTAAAATCCACGAAACAGCAATATAGCCGTTTATTTTCACTAAAAGATTTTGTAATAACTGAATGCAGAGCGAAAACGGCATCAACAGTGCTAAGACCAGGGCGAAAAACCAAACTGTGCGTCATTAATAATATCATAAGACTCCGACCATTTTACCAACCTCGTATTCAAAATTGATGTAATCAGTTTGCCTAGACAACTTACCAAACTAATACCTCTAAAATTGTTAGGGTCACTTTTATCTCCTTTCGTATGAACTGGCGTAATAACAGCTATAGACCATTGGGAGGGAAAACATCCAGAATTAAAAATGCCGTTATATAGTACACTCAAAACAGGCAATAGTACATTTTTACCAACTACGAAACATTCATTTAAAATTCCATCAAGTCCACGTGATTTACCCCGTTTCAGGTTACCTATCGCTTTAGCTATCTCATTAACCGTAATAGGACAGTCTAATTCATCATAAATTGGAATAGAGTTATCATTGGAATTAAACTCACCACTATTTTCTGTTACTTCTGAATTATTAACATTCTCAGATGACAAAGTCTTAAAATGGTTGTACAAATTGTCTGGGATAATATTTTCTGTGATGCTCAAGCAAATCACCTTCATATTTCATGTACATTCTTTTTTTCTTTGCTTCTGCTACTTTGTACAATCTTTTCTTATTAATTAAATTGTTATGATTCTCTACAGACTTATATTATACAAACTCTATGCATTTTTATAATTATTCCATACATGTTTCAAATCGGGGTCAAACCATAACCGACTCGTTAATATCGTTTTGATTCGTTGAGAGTACATCTAAAAAGCTTACCTTGCCTTCGTCATTCCATCGATAAGTAGGTCGCTCGTTACCTGTCGGTTCACACACGTGTGTATCATCATTATCGACCAATGAAAAACGCGTTCGTATTTGCACGTGCAGTGGGGCGTGGTCAGATAACACATTGAAATTGCCAACAATAAACTGTTTAACACAATACAATAAACATGGACTCGCAATCAAATAATCAATAACACTCATTCCATTATGGCCACAATATGTATAGTCATTTGAATACTTATTTAAATCTCTTCCGTTATAGATACGCAAACAACTCGCCTTACATAATTCTATAAGTCGGTTTCCAAAATGATTTACCACTGTGTCGGGGTTAACCCTATCAGTATAATAATCATCAGAGACATATGAAAACAAATCAGAAAGCTGACGTTTAACACTGTCGTGAATAATATCATATTTTACATAATCACATACATTACTGGTACGACTGTTAAAAAAATGTATATGTTATGTATGTTATGTATATATGTATAAACAATACTATTTATATGGTATAGATGTTATGAATACACATATAAACATTACTATGTACATTGTATATGTTATGTATGTTTTGTATATACGTATAAACATTACTATGTATATGGTATGGATGTTATGAATACACATATACACATTACTGTGTATATGTTATGTATGTTATGTATGTACGTATACAAATTACTGTGTATTTGTTATGTATGTTATGTATATACGTATAGACATTACTGTGTATATGTTATGTATGTTATGTATACACATATAAAAATTACTGTGTATATGTTATGTATGTTATGTTTATACGTATAGACATTACTGTGTATATGTTATGTATGTTATGAATACACATATAAACATTACTGTGTATATGTTATGTATGTTATGTATATACGTATAAACATTAGTGTGTATATGTTACATTACTATGTATATGTTATGTATTATAGGGACCACAAGGTCTGACCGGTATTCGGGGAGAGCCAGGTGATGCCGGACAAGCGGTAAGTTTTTTAGTTGTTATTAACAAGGTTGTGTAAATGATCTTAACGATGATGTATTAAAGAGATGGAACGTCACACATATATTAAACCCTTGTACATTTGATATATATGATATTCTTATATCTTGGTTAGAAATATTTTCCAGTAAACGTTTAATGCTATCAAGTAAATATGAAGAACATAATGAAAAAAGACGTATCAATGAATAAAGATCTTTTTACGTTCCTAAAGAAAAATCATGTTATAAGGAGGAGAATACATGATTTTACCTATATTTTATTTCTTCCTAGGGATCACACGGCCAGCGAGGACCGCCTGGGCCTGCTGGGTTACCCGGACCCAATGTGAGTTTTTCGTTCCGTGTGATTCTAAATATCTTTAAATAACTTTTAACGTGTGAATACATGTACAATATATGTGCCAGTCTCAAGAATCTCCTAGAAGAGATGAAAGTACCCAAGACTCGTTGTTGAGAATTTTCCTTTTATAATATATATATTTATATATTTCTCTTTGTAAATTATGATTTTGGCAGGATAAACAATTATGTCTTTATTAACATATACCTGAAATGCCAATTTAAAAACAAAATATCCAATCGATGTATTCGATAAAAACCCTGTTGTTGAAAATTCGTGTTATCGCCAACATTATGGAGATAATGTGGTTAACTTTATAATGTAGCGTCATCACTTTGTTTTACCGGATAGGGAGATTCTGGACGTAATGGCGAGACTGGACCACGTGGAACTGCCGGAAGGAAGGTAAGGTCATACACACCCTCGATCTTAACGAATGGCCTGTTTTGGTTACTACTGAACTCAATACACAAGCTGTAAATATGAGGTTTTTCCGTGGTTAAGAGTTATGACGTTACTGAACATGATATTTTGATAAATGTATTAGAAAAAAAAAAAAGTTTAAATTCAATTTGTCCTTTGTCGAAAGACGTAGAATCAATGATATAAATATAACGATATATTTCCTATTCAATTCCTCAATAATTAAGTTATCGAACGTTATCCTCCTAGGGACCCACCGGACCAGCCGGAACTCCAGGAATTCCCGGCGGAAAGGGACATCGGGTGAGTAGGTCAAACTATTTCAAATTGATACATTACAGAGAGCGAAAACTGCAGAAGGTATTATAAACTTCAATGTATGATTCATCCGTGCAAATTTATATCAGTAACAAAAATCATTTGGTTAATAGAACAAAATCCAAATTTTGACAGAGAGAAGAAATATTTACAAGTTTCCAGCGCACTTTTTCTACTGTTTAATGTTTAAGAATATTGAAGATAATGTAATATTGTCTTCTGACTTTAGGGTTTCCATGGTGTGTCGGGGCCTTCAGGTGAACAGGGAATGCCAGGAGATAAGGTATGGATGTTAAATCGTCACCATTTTATTTGATAATAGCCACCAAGCAAATAAATGATAACCACGTGCCATTTAGAAAAAAAGCATGATCAACCAACGAGGAAACAGATTTCAAATGACGGCACTTCTCCAATCTCAAAGACAATTTTAGAGCAACTGCCCTCTAAATAAGGGCAAAATAATGTCAAAATAACGTGGCGTAGTATATGATTTTTGTGTGTATGTTTAGGGAGAGACCGGTCCCCCAGGACCCGCAGGTCCTCCGGGTGTACAAGGATCACGTGGTATGGCCGGGGACAGAGGAAGGGACGGAAACGACGGACAACCGGTAAATTAGTATATTAAGTCTCTTCACGGTCTGTTCGATATTTTTTATCAGTCACCACATGAAGTGCTTAGACTAGCAGCCTTAAAGTTGATTCCCTATTTCTCTGCCCAAACGGATTTTTTTCTTGAATTGTCTTTCGTCAAGTCAGTGCTTTTCTCTGCTTCCCGTTATTAGACCATACAACATGTGTCGTCTGCAAGTAGGTTCACCAAGGAAATCAAATTATTCACGAATATCATTTATATGCTGTTACAATTAAAATGGTCTTAAGGCGGACCCATCGGGTACGCTTTCCTTGAAGGTTTTCACATTAGATGTATTCCTTTCCATGACTGTTCGCTATCACCTATCATTAAGGTAAGGTGAAAACCATTCCAACATAATACAACATATGCCATAATCTTAGATGTATAAACCCAATACGCCATGGCTTGTCAAAACCTCTGATGATATCCCAAATAAACATTCTGGCTTCCTTGCCTATGTCATTATGGTTAACTATTTCATCATCTTGCATTCCTTATTAGAAAACAGTTGATTTTGTCGATACAAAAAACCTTAGAAATGATCTTATGTCTTTATGTCTTAGAAGGTAGTTTTCTCAAATAGGTTCCTAAAAATAGGATTATGATACATTGATTTGTAGTTGGATGGATCACAGGTGTTCTCCATGGCACTTCTATATTTGTTCTATTTATTAATCATATAACTTCAGTCATGAAACTATCTATATATTTAAAAAATGCATCTCTAGCTACTTCTTCTCTCGTAAGCAAAAGAATAATCCTTGTCTTTTATATAATAGCATAACACTTCGGTTTCACCTTTGATAGTAAAGGACCATATACAAATCATATACTTAACATAAAAACAAAGTATATGTTAAACATGCTTATGATTCTCAAATTATAACAGAAAATGGATCAAAACCGATTTATTTCATGTATTTCATAGTTTTTTTTTAATATAATTTAGGATGAATGTACTAATTTTAAAAACAGTCTTCTTGTATCAGTCGATTGTTTATCCCTTTTCTTTAAAAAATAACTAGAACGGGAATACTTACAAAGTAGAAGACAGAAATAGTTAGGACTAACAGCCTAGGAACAAAAATTAATAACAACAGTTTCTAGATAAACTAGATTATATCGCAATTTCACGTTTAAAATCGATGTTTATAACCTCGCAAAATATCTTTCATTGAAATATTTATCGACTGGATTCTGAGGAGAGTTAATTTTATCTTGTGTCAACTCAGAAGTATTAAAAAGTATCTTCATTATCATTAATGTAATGAAAATTTAATTGATGGTACTTTGGTGTGGTTCTGGCGCACGATCATTCAGATACCTAAACCTTCATTTTATTTTATAATATTCTTCATGTATTTCATCAACTTGATAACACAGTAGTCATATTGAATCTTGTATCAAATCCAACAATTTATTTGTTTATATAATGAAATTTATAATATATCAATGATTAGCCTTTCATTATAAGATAACTGAGGGGATATGCGATAACAAAAGCATATTTCATAAAAGTGACTACTGTTTGTTTTGTTTATGTATTTTATGTTTCATAGTGACTGTTATATTTTGTAATATGTAGTGATATGTAAGTGCTCCTGTATCTGTATTTAAAAATGGCCGGATTGTCCTGAGAATTAGACCATTTCCTTTGTCTACACCGTTGTTATTACTTCTTAGCCCTTTTGTTCATTTTTTTTATGACAGGGTTTGAGAGGAGTTGATGGACTTCCGGGAACTCCTGGCGCTCCTGGTCCCGTCGGAAACGTTGGGCCACCAGGTATTCCAGGGAAGCCAGGATCAAAGGTAGTATATTTTTCCATTTTTTTTCTTCAATAAAAGTACAGATTTCACCGCAATATTTGTTATTTGTTATTTGTTTTCCTCAAGCAATATGAGTTTCCGGTTACAGTGTACTATTTTTCTTCTAAACTTACAGGGAGAGGCAGGTTCCTCAGGACCCAAGGGAGCCATGGGTCTACAAGGATCTCGGGGAGACAGTGGAAACCCAGGTCCGTCAGGAGAGTCCGGAGCTACGGGTCCCAACGGTCTTCCAGGAAGTAACGGCGAGAAGGGAGCATACGTGAGTCAAATGATACGATAATATAACTGCATTAAAGTGAACATATACTTAACAGAAACTTTTTTAACTGACTAATATGTGCAGATGTATTTTTTGCTTTGTAATATCAGTTTTCCACTTACAGTATATTATTTTCTAAATATTATCAACATTATATATAGGGGGTCTTCCCGTGCACTTTTTAATATTTTGTTTGCACCGAACATAAATATGAAATGAACAATTACCAGGGAGAGCCAGGACCTTCCGGCCCACCAGGATTTCCAGGACCACGTGGTGCACAAGGTTTTGGCGGAAGTCCAGGACCTATTGGACCAAAAGGATCATCGGTATGACCTACATGATTGTACATAAATACAGTTATATTTGTTTGCATATAATGATTATATGGAGACAGTTTCAATATTAATAACTTATCAAATTCATGACATCTTTTGAGGATTCCATTGAAGTAGTACGAATTATGAGGTATATTTCATGATAAGGCTTTCGGAAAATGTTTCTTAAGTTTTGAAGTTTTAACAGATTTAGATAAGACAACATTGAATTAATTATTTTTGTAATTGAAATTTTCTTTCAATTATGTGGTCGTTAACCATAATGCTTACATATTTGTTTTTGTTATAGGGTCAACCTGGATCAATGGGTATGAAAGGAGGTTCAGGCCAGCGTGGTTCACCAGGACCTATTGGAGAAAGGGGTATCCAGGGGTCCCCTGGACACGAGGGCAAGCGGGTATGCACTTTTATGTCTAATATTTTACCATTAATTTCCACGATGACTACTATAATACATGTATGAACACCATTCATTGTTTTGTTCAAATAACGAATGTACATGTAAATGTTGATATATCAAAATAAAGACATCGTCGGAACAATTACAAATATACATGGAGGTTGTTTTGTGTAAGCTGCGTCTTATTCCAAAATTAAAAGGTTATTTCTATCGTTAAAATTGTCTATTACTCATTAATAATGAAGTTGTTTGTTTTGTGTCAGCTGCGTACTGTCCCAATACGAAGAAGTTGTTCGCGTCGTTTCAATTGCATTTGATGCCATATTTAAGAGGTTTTTCTTTTCAGGTTCAGCTTCATTTATCCCAATATTAAGATATTGTTCCTTTTCTTTCCTTTTCTCATTATTCCCGTATAAGAGTTTGTTCATTTCGTTTCAGTTACGTAATATGTCCATACTAAGAATTGGTTTCGTTTTAATGGCGCATGACATAGGTAATTACTGTTCTGTTATAATCAATTGTGTTGAAAGTTAATACCGTTACACACAGAATACCATATCGTTTCATGAACATAGAACTTCAATAACGATTTCCCCTATTGCAGGGACAACGTGGAGTGGTTGGAGAGCTTGGAGCTGCAGGACCCCAGGGAGAACGAGTAAGCAATTATACAACATTTATTTACCATTAGTCATAAAGTTATAATTGATGCTTGATAAAATCCGAATAGCGCAATTTATTTTTGTTAATGTGAAAGTGCGGAAAGCCTTATCCCTTATAACATTTTATTAACTTTTATTAAATCTGTGAGATTGCATTCTAATCAAGTAGAGAAAACATCGGCAAGATTCAACTTTGCAAATTAGGATCAAAATCAACTAGGTTCCAATTTGTTCAGTAAAAAATAAAAGATAACAAAATTTCACTTCACTTGTGTGAATACAACTAGCGGGATTCCAATGCACGCAGGCGGATAAAGTAAGCGGAACCACTCTCAGACGGTGACATTCCACTCTACACAGTAAGATACAAATCAGCGGGATTAACATATCAACGTTTGCCTTCATTACATTTTCCATTGTTTATTTAGGTGTCTATGAGTAAGAAAAGATAAGGCTTATAAGGAAACATGGATGGCATATGATTGTCCAGGTAATATTCCTTTTAGCTAATGCATTTTGTCTCCATGGTAATAGGGACCACCAGGACAGCGAGGAATGCCAGGACCTACTGGGGAGCCAGGAAACTTTGGAGAGGATGGATCCCCCGGACAAAGGGGACGCCGCGGAAACTCTGGACCAATGGTGAGTTTCACTTCTGGTCTCTTATTTTAATTTACTGACTCTTTACCTTTAAATATATATATATATATACATATATATATATGTCGTCTTGGGTAAGTTATTCCACTGAATCCTAGGAAATGTGATAGTGGAATATTGGAATACACATTATGTATTGAAAGAAACAGAATGCTAGTTTTCATTATTTATAGTTTGTTTTTAGACAAATTCTATCTGTCGACTATATCCTATATCTTGTTGACAGGGCGAGCCCGGACGTCAAGGAACACCCGGATTACGTGGAAGCAGAGTAAGTATGATAGAAAGAAAAGAATGGTATTTCTTATAATTCTCATAATTTTTTAAATTGAAAAATGCATATCAAACAATGTATATGGCCGTTAAGAAAAGATCAAACAAAAATGTCATATTTTACGGACTTTCTGACAATATTTTGATCTACTATATGGTTTCTCTTTTTTGTTTGAAAACTGATAAAGTCCCAAAAGACAAACTTGCGGAAATGTTCGGGACATATGGATTTTGTTGCTTTTCTTGTTAAGGTTTTAAATTCTTCTTCGTCGGATATTCCATATCAAAGGACTCTCTTCAAAGTATAGATGAAGATGTACCACTATTAACATGGAGCCGACTTCCATTTTCCGATTGGACAGGATAAGAGCATTGTCTCTGATTGACAGTTACAGTGAAACTAAAGATCAATTGATGAAACTTGTTCCTATTTTGTCAGAGTTTGCCAGTTTAATGCAATTTTTCGCCTGGTCTTTTTACAGGGACCATCAGGTATGGTTGGATTAGATGGAATTCCAGGGCGTGCAGGAAACCAGGGTGTACCCGGAAATGACGGAAGCCCTGGAGAAATGGGACCTCCAGGTATCCCCGGACCAGCCGGACCTCAGGGACCACAGGGACCCACAGGAGAGCGAGTAAGTCTCTGCTGATGCTTGAACTATTTATATACCTATTCGATGTAAAGAAATCGTCATTAAATCAAAACTAGTAAAAGATATTGATTATATATACCGAAGAGTTAGCCCATCCACCCACAAAATGGAAGTACGGATTGATGACAATGATCAAATTAAAAATATGATGAATAACTTTTGTATTTATATAATCACTACCATATGTTCATGTCATGTACCCGACACATATATCATATTTGCTAACTACGTACCTGTTTTATCTTAGGGAACCCCGGGTAATGACGGTAACCATGGTGGGCAGGGTAGCCGAGGTCCGGCCGGAGATGCTGGACCCCCTGGAGAAATGGGACCATACGGACCCCCGGGCCCAATCGTGAGTACTTTTTGTGCTACAAAAATGGTACCATATATAGATACCCAGATATAAGTCTATTTCTTTTTTGACGTATCTTACACTCCTTACTACTGATAAGGTTGATACTACGACTTAACATCCTATTGACGAGGTGTTATTTTTTTATATGAATCTTTTTGATATTCTTCGGCAATTATAAGTGTTTTTTTCTTTTTCTTCCAGGCTTTATTTAGAATTACCTTCAGAATTACATTGTGTTAAATTTTTACTGTTGACGTTGACATCCAACTAGCACGCCAATTTCATATAAATTGCGCTTCTTAATTGAAGAACAATATATAAGTTGAAGCATTTTCTACAGTTCTACAAATAGCTACATGCAACTAAATAAATGTGTATTATTTTACTTCATATCATATATCGTTGATATAATAATGTTTTACTTCAATTTTCTTTACCCCGTCCAGGGAGAAGCAGGAGAAAGAGGACCAGCTGGAAACTCCGGACAGCAAGGCTACCAGGTAGAATTCTCGAAAGATTCTAAGTACATTTTATCTTATAAAAGTACAACACTAGTTTAACAGAAACCATAAACACAAACCAGATTTTTTTCCATCAGTACCCATCCAGCTGTACCGCCACACCATCTTCAATCTGAAGTACGTTTTTAATTGTTTGCCCACTTTCACATCATGGTATTCGGAGGTATAACTGAAATGTGTTTTAAATATTGATGTGTGAGGATATATTGATAGAAGGTGATATGTTCAAAAAGGGGGATAGTTAGCATTCACTACATAAAAAATAGAAAAGAAATAAGAAGAAGATCGAGAGCCATCATGTTTTGATTGAAAGTTTAAGTCGCTGGATGGCAAACTTTACAAAAAAGTTTTTTTATGATCGTCTAGGGAGCACCAGGATTGCCTGGACCACCTGGTGAGTCAGGAAAACCCGGAGAACAAGGAGAGCCTGGTAATCAAGGCCGAGACGGACGTCCCGGAGCTCCTGTAAGTGTCTTCTAAATTCTTTCATTGATACATTTTTACATGTAACATGGATGTCAGCTAATCCACTGAATAAATGGTATATCTTGATTGCTAAAATTGATGTAGACTTTTCAAAGAATGATATATCAATCGTAATTCACAATGCTTTTCGAGCAGTATATCTAGGCCGTTAGATATAAGGGTTCATAAACCATGTGATTTAAACTTTATAATTTGATCATTTATCATTTGTTCTTTGTAATATTTGTCGTTTTCCAGGGAGAGAGAGGTTTCCCAGGTGAACAAGGGCCTCCAGGAGTATCTGGAGAACCGGGAAAGGCAGGACCAGAGGGCCCGACGGGAAGGGCAGGAGAAAGGGTAAGGTTTATTAATATTAACGCGGGTGTGGAGGGGGCATTGTACGAGATTATCTTTTTACGTGTAGTAAATGTAACAAAATAACTGTTGTTAAGAAATTGCAATATGGTCTTTATCATTTCTATTGTTTAAGGGACCACCCGGACCAGAAGGTGAGAAGGGAGAGCTCGGACCAACCGGAGTACTGGTAAGAAAGTATTCAATTCTTTTTATTTTTAGAGAAATACTAAGATAGATGTAATGATAGATTATCGCACAGTGTTTTCATGGATTGTCCTGAGATCAATTATCTCATCGTGAGCACGTGGATAAAATCAAGAAACTACCGCAGATTAACTTGACCGGTTCATTGCGACGATATGTAAAAAGTTAATTTCAGAAGAATATGCTGTTTTACACTGGACCATGTCCACTGAAATGTTGGAGATACTAGTCAGTTGGTAGGAATTTTATGACTATAAGCTATCAGTGTTTAAATGATTATTGATAAATAATTATTGTTCGTTTGGTAAAATCATATATGTAATCGCAAAGAAGTATGAAAGTACAGATAACATTTTAATTATCGTAAATGTAATTAAAGCATTATGGTTGACACGAGGGGGCTTATTTGAACCGAACTATCAGGTATTGTTAACTGATAGTTAGCGACCACATGATACAATGTAGGAGGTATTTATTTGCCATATGTTATGTTTTTGCAATGACCTCCTTTTAAAGTACTATATTTTCTATGGTGACAGGGACCTCAAGGTCAGCGAGGAAAACGTGGAGCACCAGGAGAGCAGGGAGAACCCGTGAGTTGTATATAATAACAACATACTAATTGAGCAATGATTCTAGTCTTGTCTTTCGAACAGATTCTTTAAGGCTAAAATGTATCGCTTTTAAAGTGTCAGACATGATATAATGGTTTATTTAAAGATGTTTAGTAAAATGAAAAGGAACAGTTTATACTCAGACATGTACAATATAATACTATAACTATATGATATTCAATAAATTGTAATTCTAAAATTATGTGTGTATGTCAACATTTAAAAATTAATATATTTATAGTTATGACGAAGTCAATGTCTTTGATATTACTGTTTATACACCTAGGGGGACACATCTTGGATAACCAATTGGTGCTTTTATTTCTTAACTGTTATGATATCAATAACAACTGATGGGTCCCCGTGTGTTCATGCATTCTTCATACCGACAACTTATTTATAGGGCGACCCTGGTCCTTTTGGCCCTGACGGACCCACTGGCCGTTCCGGAGAGCCTGGACCACCTGGTAAATCTGGAGAGGTCGGATCCCCTGGACCAGCCGCACCAAAGGGAGAGGCTGGAGACCCAGGATTCGAAGGGGAGAAAGGTTCAAGAGGAACACCTGGAGATAGAGGTCCGATTGGACTCGCAGGACCTGACGGATTAACAGGAATGCCAGTAAGTGATGGTAACATTCGGCTTGTGTTTGATAAGATATTTGGGGTTTTATTTGCTACCAGCAGTGTATGTATTGCTGCTTATATTATTCGGGTTCAAAAGTCTATGAGTATTTAAAAGAATTTGAATAAGTGTTTTATTTCATTGTATAATTGGGAACTATTTTCATCTTCAATGTCAAGTGGGTTTATACCAGGGAGCACAGTCATTCCGTCGTGAACTTTTGTTTTTCAATACTAATAGTCTAAAACCGATAAGAAAAAGTCGATTCTTTAAAAAGCTCCTCCTTGTGGACCCAGTAAGGGAAATATAAACCCCAATACGTTTGTTGACTGTAAAACTTGACGGTTATACTTATCGTTCTTCAAATAATCGTCATACGTGCGGTGTTGTTGAAAACTAGCGAAACAAGCTATTACATAAACATAATTTAAAGAACAATAACATATTTCATATTTCTGAACCTTGCTGCTTTGTTTGTAGGGAAACGCAGGACCAAATGGTCCAAAGGGACAGCAAGGATATCCCGGAGAAAAAGGAGACCAAGGAGATGCTGGTGATGCCGGAATAAGCGGACCACCTGGAGCTAGGGTAAGTGTTATCATGTTAGTGTAGCTAAAATGTGATTAAGTGTTACGAATTGCACCATTTGCTAGCCTTTAAAGAACATTAAAAACTCGAAGAAACACATGGATGCTTGATAAAATTTAGTTCTATTTTTTCAAATATCACATATATTGTTAGAGTCGGCTAAACATATTTTTGCCCAATCAGTTAACAATTCAATATATTTTATGAAACACAGGGTTTAAGAGGATTAGACGGCGCTAAGGGCGTGCGAGGAGAGCAAGGTTCTCCTGGTCTGCCTGGTCCGCCAGGACCGAACGGCCGTTCAGGCCCAATGGGACCCCAGGGCAATCAGGGAGAGACTGGGGATGCAGGCGTGCCTGGTGGTGATGGAATCAAGGTTAGTAGATACAAGTAGACACATAAGAACAAAATATATACAGTTTATCAGTAGTTGGAATTTTTTCCAATTCTTTGGCAGTCGAGAAACTTGATCAGGCTTTTTGCTTTACTCGTAGCAACTCAAAAAGTACGGCAAACTTCAATCCGAGGATATATTGTATTCAAATGACCTACGCACGCTCAGTAGGACACGTTTCAAAATACATATGATGATCATTTCTTTAGATCTGCAGAGATCTTAAGTGCAATGCTGACAAGTGTGGTTGTTCTAAATAAACATCTGCGGGTATATCGCATTTCAAAGAACATGATAAATTTAATATACTAGACTGCTGTCACAAATTACGTAAATTACCCACAGTCTGGACAGTATGTTTCCCATACAAAGGATCATTTTGTCGTCTGCTATTGGAATTAGCGTGCATTACGTTCCATAAAATTGTGAAAATAATCAAAATTGTACACTTTAAAAAAAAAATTGTTTATGATCTATGATATAAGACTTAAGCGTTCAATCTGCACGAATTACATAATATTTCCACAGGACATTTTGATTAAATACCACTAAGATATTTATGGTGCATGTCCTCTGTCCTTTAAACGATTTATTTTTAAATTTGTTTTTATGAAGAAATGCTTTTGCTATCAGATTACGTCTACCGTATTCATTAAGGCATACGAAGTGTATATTGATAAAGATCCGCTGACAAACTGCCGTGTTAGATTAGAGTTGTTGCAATCACTACATAATTTTAGTACAAAATCTCTCGCGACCAATTATTTCATATTGATATTAATGATCAAATGACTAATACATAATAACTGCTGTATTATTTATGATTGGAATTCATATTTACTTGACCATGCTCTTTAAAGGGAACTCGTGGAGAGAACGGACGAATGGGCTATACTGGTGAGGCTGGAGCTGCTGGTACACCAGGAGAAGCAGGACAGAAGGGATCCCGCGGGGAAGACGGAGATACTGTAAGAACAAAGTAGACAATTAGTCTATGCTATAGAACGACAATTTCTTGTGTTATTGTTAATAAAATCGTGTAATGTTTGGTTTGATGAACTAATTTCCTAAATATAGCTTTACAAATTTTAGTAGTTTGAGACAAAATATACATTTAAAAGATATTTGTTTGACAAGAAGATAATAAAAACATAGATCAATTTGATTAATACAAGTTGACAACATCAATTGCTTTACCTCTTTGCAGGGTCCTGTTGGACCACTAGGGCCACTGGGACCAGCCGGTGAGAGAGGCCAGCCCGGTATCCAAGGAATTAGGGGAGAGAGGGGTCCAATGGGACCTTTAGGACCACCGGTATGTACACTTTCGAATTGAATAGAAATGTTATTGTTTAAAATATCGATATAAAAATTTTGGATGCAAAATACATTTCAAATATATTTTCAAATATAAAAAGCGAAAAACCTACCTCGTGAACTGCAACTTAACATTACACTGATCGCTATTTGATGTTCAGAATTGCATCCTGTACACTTGTTTGCAGTGTTAGTATTTACTTTAAAAATAAGTGTGCTGCATGTTTGTTTGAGTACAATATCAACTACAAACCGCGAGAGTTACACTGTCCCTGAACGATTACAAATACATTCCAAATAAAAAGGACATGTAATTGGTAATTGTCTAATTTCTTATTTTAAACTGATATTCAAGTTACAATGATATGATTTTGTGAACGCTGAACTCTTAGGGCAGTCAAGGATCCCCCGGACGTGAAGGCCAGGACGGACATCCAGGTAAACCCGGACCAAGAGGATTGGCTGGATCTCCTGGGCCAGTAGGAGAACCTGGTCTCTCGGTGAGTTGGTGGTTCGTTATGGAGTATTTTATGTCTTTTTTTATGTGCGGATGATATAATCTGTATCGAAGTAGACCTGTAGACAGTAAAGTAACATCTGCTGGGAAACTTTTCTCTGTTAATGACAAAGTTTGTGATCATTTATTCATCTCTACATATTGATTGTATTATTAGGTATGTCGTATATATAGAAATAACAAAAAAATAAAATAAAAAGACAATTATTCAATTATTTTGAAATACAAATGTTAGTAAAAAGTTTTGTGATATGGATAACGAAAAAAATACACATTTGAGAATGGTTAACAGTTTGACGGGGATAATGATATATTATTGATTACGATAATTACAAGTTTGTTTAAAGGAATGTATTGCGATTACTGCTAATTTATTAAACTGTAACCTATTGTTTGAGAGCGTTGAGACTAACTGGTATTAAATTGTAACGGTGTCACGGTTTTACTAGGGATCCCCCGGTGCGGACGGCACACCTGGTATTTCAGGCAGAGTTGGAGAGCAAGGATCAGATGGTGACATGGGCATGCCCGGACCGATGGGACTCATGGGATTCCCCGTAAGTTACTATTGATGATATAAAACATATGTATGTATACCTGGAAAATATTCCAAACCATAATCCATTCATGGCACACAAATATTCCTATTTATGGTATACATGTAGGTCATATCGAGAGTTCATTGTAACTTTGCCAAGAGCGATACGTGTCTAAGGAGGTTCGGATGATGCTATTATCAGCGTGATCATTATTTGTAATTATTTCGTTAGTGTACTAGAAGCAACGTCTTCCCTATGTTAATCATGCGTTTAAAACTAGTATTCAATCGTACAATGAACGTTAACTAATCAACTTAACAAACTATATCAAATCAGCATTTGCGAAGTTTAATGAAACCGAAATTGTTATCTCACACTTTGCAAAATTATCCAAATCAAGAATATAAAAAGAGATGTTTTAATGAATAGAATTTTAAGCAAAACTATCCTATAAGCTCCTTCAACGATCATATAGTCTTTTTTCGTCTTGTTATTTGTGTTTTGATTATGTACAACAGATATGTAGAGCTTTAATTTATAACTTGTGTTTTACTCATAAACGTAACTTTTCAGTTAATTTTTGTGTAGATGTCCATTATTTAGGTGAAGACATACATTTTATTGCTCCTGTCTTTTGTGTAGACCCTCCTTTCCATATTCGTTTGTAAACATGATTTTTCGCTATTTGTTTCTTAAGAGTTCAAACAAACATTTTTTTGTGCGGGTTTTTGTTGCTTCATAACGTTTTCTCATGAGCATGCTTATGATTAAGGGCCCTGCCGGACCACCCGGATCCCCAGGACCTGCCGGAGACCGAGGAGTCAGAGTAAGTGAATTTTTTAGATATATTGGAGGTGATGTACCAATAAGTTAACGTCACGTGATTAAAGATTATAGATAAATGATATGAGAACAAATTAAATGCTCTGAAACTATACAGTTAAAAACTTACACAAATCGATCAATCAAGATATATAATGTGCAACTGGTTGTGAAGAGATGTAATTTTCTTCTTTTAATAAACTATAATAAATGATAGTAGCATGATGGTTATAAAATGTTCTGCACTATATATAGATATGAGAGTTTAATCATTATTATAACCATGTCAATTTTGCAGCAGTTAACCATTATATTTTGTACTTAGGGTGAGAATGGACCAGATGGATCTCGAGGTGCTCAGGGGCCACGTGGACCACCAGTAAGTATCGATTTCTTTCTGAATTGATTGTAGCATACAATTACACGTACTAGCTTCACCAACTCAGTATTCTCTTCCTTTCTTATTTCAATGTTTTCATTTTACGAATTAACGGAAGGATTTACAGTGGTACCAACACCAATTCACATGTGATCCTTTCCTGTACTACCACTTAAAATATATATTCAGTTTGAAAATGGATTTACATTATAAATAGACTATTGCCCTTTGTTGGAAAAGAGACATGCTCTAACAATAGCGTAGTGATTTACAGAAAACTTTTTCTCCGTTTCATATTCAAATGTCATATAATTGTTTCATTTTTATGTGCTAAAGGGACGGATTTCCGCGACAATTTGACAAAATTCCATTGTTTGCCTTAACTTTGTATTATTAACGTTCTAAGCTCTGTTATCATTTCGTAAGAACAAAAGGTTTAAGATTATTCTCAATCCAAGCTGCTGTCTTCGTCAAGTGTTGTACATGATTATTACAGAGTGTTGATCACGTACAATACACCCTGGCTAAAATCGTATTGTTTTATCATTGTTTTAGGGCCCATACGGACAACAAGGAGTGGGAGGAGAAAAGGGAGATGATGGTCTCGGAGTAAGTCTATTATTCATACATTGTGTTATGTTTTATTGCAATAACCAATATAAATATATGTAGTAAGGATTACTGCTTCAGTTTTTTAAAATTTAAAATTGTTTAATCAAGCATTAATAATGATATAGTTTGCTATTCTTTTGTATCATACCAAAATGTATGTTTGATAATGATGTCGAGGAAAGCGATCAACTCCAATAGCTTTGTTTGGTATTAAAAAGAAATATTATCTGAAATTAAATAGATATTGAACAAGGTTTCATATTTTATCACATCCTGAATGAAAAATGTCAAATAACAAACTATGTCATAAGACCATATTACCCAATGAAAATTGCAAGTATTTACACGAACGGAATTACCATATAGCGTGCTATCATCAACACAAATTTAAGCTTTAATTTGCAATTGATTTCATATTTTTTCTCTGGTGTTTAGGGAGACAAGGGAGACCCTGGTCTGATTGGTATGCCTGGACTTCCAGGACCAGAGGTAAGTACACATCAACATTTCCTGTATATATGCAATTAAATTAAGTGAATACGTCAGCATGCTTACTGTATCCTTCATCGTTCTGGTCACTATTTATATTTTTCTTTGTGTTTTAGTAAATAAAATTTTACTCTGTCGCCATCTGTAGTGCAGAAACGTACTTTATTGTATCCGCACTGTAACTACAGACAAATCTTTATACTAAACGTTACAGACACCTATCGTTGATTTCTTGGTGATTAATCAAGTCAACTGATAAATTCTAGTTCACCATCAAACGAAATTTCAAATATATTCTTTTTATATTATCATTAGACCCGAATTTGCTTTCAACAGTTGTTTATAACAAGGCACATAGTCTGCATGTCTCATATTATATATAGCAACGTCAGAAGGTTGGAATCGTTATAATCTGTTTATGTCCATTATAGGGACCACCGGGTGACCAAGGACGTTTTGGCCCTCCAGGCCCGCAGGGACAGCAGGTATTTATTTATTAAGAAACAGAATAATTAACAATGAATGGTGACTAATGCATTGATATCTAAAAGGTACATATATACATATTACTGAGTACAATGACTTTTAAACATTTTTTTGTTTTATGCGCGTTTTTCTATGTTGATACTAACATTCAAAAATGTAAACTTTATATATTATTTTACAAGAATTATGAAACAAGTTGTCATTACTATAAATTTCTATGATCAACGTATTAAAATATACATATATGTTATTACACATAAATTAAGTGGAAAAAAAATGTAAAAGTGTTAACACAATCATGTATTTATGAAAAGGAAGTATCACATAATAGCGTGAATGAAATAATTTTTAATTTCATTCAGTGTGAGGACATTTGATATGAGCATATATCGGAAATGAAATGGTTAAAATCTAATCACAAAAGTATTTACAACACACGAGTACTAAAGTAATTGTTAACTTGCTCCAAATGCCAAATTCTTTTGAGTTGTTATTATTAATCATTTTACCACTATTACAGGTTGTATTATATTTTTTCTGGTAAAAAATTGAAGCATTTGAAGTATTACAAATATTACAAAATATCTGCCTGATCTTGATGTTAAGGGACTGTTGGTATTTTTAAGATGTTATTGATTTTGCACTCATACACACGGCAACGAGTTATATTATAATGTGCATGTTGTAGGGGCCTGATGGGCAACGTGGACATCCTGGTAGGGCAGGTAACAATGGTGAAATTGGATCACCAGGACCAATGGTAAGTTTCCCCACTCATCACTTCATGGCTGAAAGTTTTTTCACTGATCTCCGTAATGAGATTTTAACCTTTTAAAAAGGTGTTTTGTTGGATAACAAATAACGTAGCATTTAAAAACGTGCCTTCTATAAAACAAATGGTTCAATTAAGTATTGACTCGATATTTTGTTGGGTCCTGTCTTTTAAGTACTAAACTTATTTCACGTGAAAATACTCAAAACAAAAATTGTTATTACCGTGAGATATCCTGAAAAGACGTGCACTCATACACAGAATTCTCAAGCTTTAATGTCTATAAAACAACTATTTTATTAAGATAACCTGTCTTCAATTATTATTTAAAGATGGTAACAGCTTATGTGTTTCATACCACAACCCAATTATACAACCATTCATTTTACGTTCGTATTTGAACAACTTTCGCTCTCTCACATGGACGGTCCTAATAGACAAGTTTGACAACTAAAAGTCAGGTTCGTGTTATCATAAGTATAGATGGATATTGACATTTTACACTTCTATTATCAACAGGGATCACGTGGAAACCAGGGAGAAGATGGCCGAGCCGTAAGTACCAAACATAAATACAGTGGTAGCATAATGGTATCTGAAACGAGAGATCAAGCATTAGTAATCCGTATGTATCCCTTATAAGATATAGGGAATATGCCCCTTTTCAATAATATAAGGGAAATAACAAAAATAAATCTTACCTTAAAGTTGTGATACTTTTGATATTTTTTAATATTTTATTATGGTGGACAACTTGTTGTATTCTAACTATATAATTTACAAAACCAGTAGGGTTGTTTATATGTGTGTTTTTTTTTTTACATTTTACCATGCGTTGTTTATTTGAATAATACATTGCTCTTGCCCTTATATGTTATCGCTAAAACATATTTTTCTAGCAACAGGGAATAAAAAATAGATGATTTTTTGACATGTGTATTTTTTTTTATTTAGTTATATTCATATAAAATTATACCTGAAAATGCAAATGCTTTGTTTTCATCCGACAATATGATATCATTAAAAAAAATATCCTTAACTATAGATGTGTAATCTGTTAAGATAAGTTACTATGCTACAATACCGTTTAATCGTGATTACCTGAAAACATTTATCAGTATATTTTTATTAATCTTCTTTTTCACTTGTGTAAAAGAAGCCATATTTTTTCACACTTTTACGTTGTGCTTTGATAGGCAATTAATATAGCTATTTGACCTGCTGTATCAAAATATATTAACAAAAATATCATATAAAGGTAACAAAAGTGGAATACGGGTACTCCATCGACCCCTCAAAAATGTATGCCTATTAATATAATTTTGTTGCTAAGTACTCATTAAATATATATATTTCTGTACAGGGTGTGATGGGAAATGCTGGTATGCCAGGACCCCCAGTAAGTATGACTTATTATTACTTTATTACAATACTTTATAATATTTACTAAATTATATCTTTTGTTATGATTGATATCTATCAAGCAATTAAAATTAAAAAAAAAAAAAAATCCCTCTATTTTTTCAATATATCAATATTGGAAATGGCAATACTTGGTATCACATAGCAATAGCCTCTGAACTCATCATCTTTAGGGAGAGCCGGGACGTTCCATCTACAGCCAGGCAATCACTGGATGGTTTAGCCGTTCCAGCCTGAAGGGAATACAAGTGAGTATATTTATACAATGGCATGTGTTGTTGTCAGGTTCTATGCTACACTGAAACGCACGTCCTTTTCGGGAGAGTTCATTCCTGAAACCTTTGTGAAAAATAAATCTTTATTTTTTAACTGTACTTAATTAATCGAATCCTCTAATTTCACTTATGTTATTTATGATTTATTAGAAAATAATAATTAATTTAATAACCTTTTATTAAAATTTGTAACCAAGAATGTTTGATTTTTCAGGGAGACGAACCATTGACTGATTCAGTATGTATTACATAATGTTTGTTTTATGATAAAAGTTCCACAAGCTGAATACGCTCACAATATGTTTTCAAGTCTCTTTAGATAGGTGGTCAAAATGGGAAATTCTTTCTCTCTTTCAAGGGATGGATCACACGAAATATGATAATTGATTTTGTATAATAACAATATCAAACTTAGTCATTTGTATTTATACAAGGTTAAGTTCTTATGAAGCTATTATCAACAAATGCAGGATTATTTAATAATCATACAAATATGTTGTTCTGTATTTCTATGAAATTACCTTCCCACATATAAATTAAGTAATGTTCATTTTATACCCCTAAGTCTACCTTTTTATCAATATGAAATTCGTGTTTGCCGTGATATTCCATAGCCTACATTTACTATCACAACAGCAAACCAACATTGTGGCCTATCTAAACAACATTGGAGAAGAGCTGCAGAAAATTACTCACCCACGTGGTGAAGAGGATTCTCCTTATGCTAGGACTTGCATGGACCTCCGCGTGCTGAACCCAGATTTGAAAAACGGTACGGAACCTATCAATGACCGCATCATTTTTTAGTCATTTTTAGACGGATTTTTCCAAATCAATATCAGTACTTTCATGATTTTCTTCTTAGTGCAGTCGATAACTTTTTTAGAAGTTGATTTCTGATGTAATTGTCTTACATTGAAAAAAATGTTTCAAAACAGAATAAAAAAAATACCGTTACTATAGGTATTTCTCAATGTCGGTGCAATTACATATCTTAATAAAGGAACGTCATTATTTATAATTATAAAATGAGTGGTAGGTTAGGATATGCAAATAAAGAAAGATACAGCTATTTGTTCAAATTGGAATCGACAGGACTGTATTGGATTGATCCCAATGGCGGTGTCACCTCAGACAAGATCCAGGTCTACTGTGATTTCCGGAAGAAGACATACACCTGCGTTAGGCCAATGTATGATATCGTAAGTGTCATCAACAATGTCCTGGTATATTATTACTTTATGAAGATCTTGAAACTATTTCCACAGTATTGGGCTATTAGGAAACACATGCGTATCGTTGGCCTATGTCTGATATCACAGCAACTATTGCCTAGTACATCGTCACTGTAAAACAATTTTCAAAACCATTTCCAAAGGACTACTTTGGTAAATAGATAACAATTTAAAATGTTTTAAACAGGTTTATTGTTGAATGCACAACATGAATGCTATCCAAGGAAACTAAATTTTATTGTAGTCATTGTAGATTAATAATTATTGTCATACTTTCCTTAGGTAAGTAACTTAATACTTTATTCATGTCGAGCCTCTTCCGAACTCAATTTATGTTGACTATTTTACAGTATGAGAACCAGCAATTAACAAAAGAGGAAGGAGAGGATTATGCTTTGTTTGCCCATAAGACAATCAAGGGCAGAGAGGTAGGGATATATTCATACGACGTTTTACAGAAGTACTTATAATAAAAACTATTAATATGAAGTTCTACAAAGTATTTAAAGAAATTGTAAGCTTTTCTTCATTATAAATAAGTAAAGCATTTTTGGTACGTTCAATACTAGCGAAGAATGAGTTTAATGTTCACCAAATGTGACTAGTGTTAGCAAAAGCTTGTTTGAAAACAAAGGTTACGAGCCTAAAAGCGTTCTAAATGTTCATACTCCTTTGTTGCCGTAGCTGGAGTACAAGTCAAACAGGGTTCAGCTTAAGTTCCTGCAGAAGGTCAGCTCCAAAGCCCTCCAGACGATTGTGTACAAGTGTAGGAACACTGTTGCCTACTTTAACCGGGCCGAGGACGCCTACAACAAAGCTATCAAACTTATCACCTTTGACGACACCGACCTTGGTGCCCAGGGCAGGAAGAAGTACAGATATAAGGTCGTCAGGGATGGTTGTGACGTACGTATAAACTCGTTGTTCTACGGTTTAGTTTTGATAGACATTGTACTTATTGCTGTCGAATGAACCAGTTTAACAATGGAGATACATGGTTTTTTTTCTGGATTTTATATTACAACGTGAACTTCAGAAAATGATCTGTATCTTTGATATGTGTTTGATTAAGAGCGTTTTTGAATTTGTACGTTTATGAAAATGGGAAAAAGTTGCATACTGCAGTATCATATTTCAATTTAAAAATGGATGAATTAACCAATCTTAAACGGACTTTTTTTGTGGTTACAGATGTCTTCCGACAAGTGGGGAGAGACTGTTCTCGAGGTTAACACAAAGAAGACAGAGAGGTTGCCAATCATTGATATAGGCATCGCAGATATTGGAAAGGCAAACCAGGAGTTCAAGGTTGAAGTGGGGCCTGTGTGTTTCACTCACGAAATTTAATTTTATAAATGTATGTAGTTTACAATTGAAAAAACCCGATTTTGGACAATTAATGTGTTTAGATAATCATATATTATTTTGAAGCATACTGTTATCGCTCAAAATTGTTTTACTTGAAAATGACATACTTGTGAAAACATTTTATACCTTTTTTTCTAAATGAAATGACGCCGCATATAAAAAATTGCTTTATTGTAGGGATTTATTTTTCTGTACGGGGTGGGACCATTTGTTATCATCATTGGGTTGGTTTATTGAAATATAAAACATGTTGGATGCTTGTGTGTGTGGGACCATTCCTTTGTTGTTTTCCTTTATCAGAGAAAGATAATATATCACGTGACAGGATGTGTAATGTATCCTGTGTATGAAAGTTGCCATGGAGGATGACGATACGTGACGTCATCGTTAGGTGTACCACCTGCGGTTTGCCATGATACCGCCCCCGATGACGTCACGTTTCAGACCTTGTATTTTTATCTGTGATATACAGCTTACACTGCCATGATTTCAAGTACTAAAAGCTATAAACACTATCAGACGTCTGAAAGCTGTAATTTCATTGGTCATTAACATTATCATTATTCAAGTTGTCTGACGGTATTTTGTATTATATCATGACACTTGCTTGTCTGACCCTTTTCTTAAATAAAAATGAGAAAAAATGACAAAACATGGCGTTCGTTTTTTTCCTTTTTACTTGATAGCTCCATTAAACATTGATATCGTGCATGACATATCTTATTAATTTTAAAACTAGAAATGCTATTTTAAAATAAAAGAGGAGTACTGCTTGGATATGGTATTGATTGATTATGTTTTAAGAAAAGTAATAATTTGTCAACACTAAAACGTGTAATGTACTTTTTGGTAAATTTAGAATCAACGTTATGAGTAAGCTAACATGTAACGTAGTCAGAATATGTTCCATTCTTGGAACGCTTGAAAAGAAACAACGAAAAAGAAATTAACTATATGGCATTTCAAATCAAAACAAGTGTTGTATTATATTTTCTGTTTATTAGTGTGTTTACACGGTAAGGATGACAGGTTTCGATATGCAATTCCATGTATTTCGTCCAAGTAATACCTGGAATATACACGTTTAGATCCGATACCAGAATATCAAGGAACAGTAACAGTTACAAAAATCAAAGCGTATCGTGAGCCATGCAGCAGAATTCAGGAAAACGTCGACATATTTGTTCATTATAAGTGTAGTGTTAATCAATATGACGAATTTAGAAATATTGTGGTGCTTATCCAGTTTAGAAAATCATAGAGGGCGTGGGGATACACTGTATACAAACAAGAGGCATTATATCGAGGCTTTATATCACCCACAGCGATTATCTAAATGCTTTGCCCTGTGCAAAATATTTTGAATGATTATCAGTTAATGTAACTGAAATTGTTCAGACTACAAAATATGTCTAGTTATATGTATGTATTAAGACATTACGTTCCTTGACCAATATTCCTCTATAGATTTCTGCCTAGCCGGTCTATTTCCTTAACGATAAAGTCCATCCCTGACCTATCACAAAGCGGGTTTTCTATTATGATCCGGAAAAAGTTCACTAGTCCTTTGCTGGACAAAGGCTGGTAGGCGGTCATCATTGTTCCCTCCATCATCATCTTCGTCTTGATCTGTGGCGCCACCTGATGAATGACAAACATAATCGAATTTGTTTTAACCTGATTCGATATGATGGCATGGCAATTGAGTCTAATGGCCAGCAGAAGTTTATCATAGGATTGAAAAGAGCTCTATATTAATACGCGTGCATACATTAAAGACATGAAAATGGTATAACATGCATACGCGAATAAAGCATTCAGTTTAACATCAATTAATTGAAACGAGCTTTCATCCTAAAGTGAGATACACATGTATAACAAACGTACGCTTTTTGTGTAGAAGTCACGGGGAAACCTTTACCTTAGCTACTTCTTTCCACCAATCGGTGTTTTCCTCTTTACCCCTAAGTCGTGGTGGGATATACCAAAAACTAATGTTCGTGCACTGAAACTAAAAGAATGGTAAGACATTTAATGGTTGTAAAAAGGTTGTTATAAACTCTAGAGAACCAAATAATTATTTGTGTTTAATTAATTGCCCATGTGAGATACTGTTTCATCTGTGTTTCTTAATATTAATTCCATCAATTTTGATAAAAATCTTAAATCAGTTTCACAGTCGAAAGTTGAAGTACGAGTCAACTGTATTATTATTATATAGATGTGTTATCTCTACTACCTCGGGAAGGACTAGCCGGAATCCTTCTGTTTCTTTAACCTTCTGTGTCAGGTACCTAGGTAGGAAATCATTATAAATATATAATAGAATCGTAATTTAAAAAATGTATGAATAAAACGGGAAAGAAAATTAGCGCGACATCCAAATTGAAATTATTTCTGTAACGAAAATGTTATCCGCAAGCTCGGAGATTGCATTAAAAAAACCAATTTTGGTTATCTATGCAAAATTCTAAAAAGCTAAACAAAATATCAAAGGAAACAATAGGCATATACAGCTCATCCGCTATTAAAGGTTGTTGGTAAACTCATTTAGCGTCTGTATTATTCAAAAAAGGTAAAGAGCAAATTTATTTAAAACTAATTTAGAACAAGTGCGCTAATAATAACTCCACATTTTATCGATCATTTTTATATGAACATTAAGAACTATTCAATTCATGAGACCATCAGAATGAATCAAGGCCGTTAATTTGAACAAACTCGATTGCCTGTTGTCCTAATATATAGTTTGATTATTTAACCAGTTGACGTTAAAAGTAGGGTTGTTTAAATAAAAAGTAAAGAAAAGTGACCTTGAAATATATTGGCAGTAAAAATGCTCGGAAATAAAGCAAGGCAATTATGTTGACTCTTAATTTATAATTTTGAAGTTTAAAAAAACGGATTTGTTTTGTGTTGATGAGTTTCCATACTTTGCCATTTCGAAAGCATGGTCCACTCGGGCCTCCATACCCTTGTCTCCATACGCTTTCCACTGCATCCAGAGTTTCAATACGTCCGCCTTTCGTCCACATTGTATTGTCTTGTCACCTTTAATCATGCAAATTAACGAATATAAGTTGTTGTCCCTATAATTACATTTCAATTTGTCCTAAGAACTATAGTTTTATGCAAAACGCATCATCTAATATTTCTTTCAATAACAATTTCCTTATTGGAATGTTTATGATGCTAGCTGTAAAAGGTGAGAAAAATGGACGGGGTTAAATGACAGCAAAACACGAAATATATCTTCTGTCTCAACAGTAAATTTGACCGATTTAGAGTTCACCGTTTTTGCCCACTAGAATCATAGAAGATGTAACGAAAATTTAGATAACTGCAGGTTATTTTGTATATAAATAATCTGTAAAGAAAGCATGGATTATTCAACATAAGTAGTTAAATATATTATGCCTCATACCAGTGTATTTACACCTTCTTTTTAAAGTAACCGGTCACTTATTTTTCAAATAAATTGAAGGTTTGCAGGTCATTTTAGTATATTCTCGTGTGGTAATTTACGCTGATACTTTTACGTATAACGAGAGTTGTCATATTTTGGGGACTTCCTTACCTTGTGTTTATCAAAGATTTGGTTTAACTGAAGACATAATGAAATATAATAATTAGGAACAGAGGGCAGTCTATGGACTAGAGTGGAAATTCATCTGAATAGTCTTTGTTCTGGTCCATTTGACCTTCTGTTGAGGATTGACTAGTCAAGTTACATGCAATATGTGGTATGCATACACTGACCGTCAATTAATACAGACCAATTCGACATATCGAAGTCGTATACACCATGTTTTTGTTTAGATAAAAATGATGGTACCCATATTACATTTAAACACAACAAGATCAGCTGTAATGCAACAAAAGATTATGCAGTATTTTCCAACGGACATAGATATTTTATACATCAAACGCTCGTTTTGGGCATATTAGAAAGATTTCACATTACAAAATCTAAGACGAGATGGAAGCATTTTTGTCTTCATTATTATTCGTGATAACTACATATATATTAATTCCACTACATTTCTTAAAAATTAATTACTCATATCATATTTTAATGTTGACACATTTCATTAAATTCGCGTAGCCGAATTTCATGAAAAGGGCGAATAAGATGATCTACTACGATAAATACAATTTTGCAATTGCACAATTTATTATAATTTTCTTAGAGTTAAAGACTAACTTGTAACTTGTGGAAACCGGGGTCTCTTTTTAAAAAGAATATGGTATAGATTTATGTAATCTACTTGATAGTATGTTTAATAAAATTCACATTGTAAAAACAGGTCCTTACTGTCCAGATAAAGATTACCTTAATTTTATTTTATTTTTCTATTTTGCAGCGTTACTTAAATCAAGGTATCATATTCTCACTGCCAGTTATATTACAAAGAAGATTTTAACCGGTTCCTAGTTTAGATAAGGTCTTGCACATAAGAAATGTGGAGTTTCTGTGAAATGACCTATGTTATATCTTCAATAAGATTCATCAGTTTGGAAATATGTAATATCAAAGTTTTACTTTCAACACAATCAATGTACGAGTTAAACGTGTCGCAACGTTTCTAGACCAACTGATCCCTTTGTTAAGAAGCAATCAAAATCAGGGAAACTCCAAACATGAACAGACGCGAAGGGAGACACTAGCTGATTCAACTGTATGACCCTATATTGACATAACGGGAGGGGGCTAAATCTACACCCTACCTGTGACGTATTCGATGCAATGTGTATACGCTCTCTATCGATAGGCGAAACTGCCCGGGTCGAGTGACATAAAAAAACATGATATCGTCACATCGTTGTACAGGTAAAAAAAATACAAATCGACACTCAGTCATAGATTGAAAAAAAGGGACCAGTCTGTCATGAAACGTTGCGACACGCTTAATATGGACATTATTTGTGTTGAATGTGAACCTTCGATAAGACCTATGTAATATGTTACCAATATCGTAGGAGGTGTCGTAGCATTTGTCTGGTTGAAACAGATACTCTGCATGGAACGAGTTGCATTGTTCCAAGAGTCCCTTCAATAGAAAACAGAATATTATGATTTAGTACAAGACCTATCTCGTTGCAGAGCATTGTTTAATTACAAAATTGAAAACAATGCACCCATCTTCCGAATTATTCATATCATAATTGACAATACTTTTTAGCTTTTAAATAGACGTTAGCATTTTTAATACAATTATCAAGTTTAAAAGCAACCAAATATTCACAAGAAAGTGAGTGAGCACGTGTCGCTTCTTACTTGAAACTGTTAGTCATTTACTTTTCGCGTACGCTTACTTTTGCAAGTATTCATTAGCATTTGTTTCGTGACTTGAGGAATACTAGAAGGAATCATGTACATATACAAAAAATCGTGAAATATTCACAATTGACTTTATTCAGGAATATTCACTATATTCACTTAGATATAATTCGCGTAACATGAGTTATTAACAGTATCCTTCAACCATGATGGTATGAAATCCTGTGCTTGTAACATAATGTATAAGTCTGTTACAATTTGCTTTTAGTAAAATTCAAATGTTCTGATACACTATGCTTGGTGTAATATTGCACTGTTCACATACACCATGCTTGTTTAAAAATAAGTTGCCTGATACACTATACTTGATATTAAATCATATTGGTATGATAAGTATAATTGGTGTAATACCATGCTTCTATTATACACTGAATTAGGTGTAAATCTAAAGCGGTATGTTATTCTATTCCTATTATGAAACTATAGTGGTTTGATGTATTCTGCTTGGTTCACTATCATTCTGGGACATTATGATTGGTGTAAAATTGTAGTCATCTGATAATTATACTTGACTATTTTTTTTATTCCTATGAGATACTACGTTTGGTGCTAATTCACAGTTGTCTGATATCGATACCGTATGGTTAGTGTAATGTCATAGTGGATTGATACAGACGTATATGTGTTTCATTGGACGAATTAAACGACTACCTTCTCTTTCATGAGCAGAGTTGAACACTGGATAGGTACACCACTCATCTTATGCTGGTTCCACGCCACCGAGTCTGCTCTGATGTATTAAAGAAGTAAATGCAGACAGAATAATTATAAGCACAAAATTAAACGTGTGGGAAGTTAAACACATATACGATAGGTACAAAGAAACAAGATATCAGAGACAGTGTAAGTGTTTGTATACTGATGTTGGAAGTTACAAATAGAATGAAAGAATTTAAAAATTAAAAGATTTTTGAAAAACTAATCTGCATAACAAATATATAGGTCATTATGAATAACTTATGATATACAACGGATTTCCAATAAATGATTAATTCGTATAATTGTTATATATTCATTGTCCTTTCTATAAAAAAAACAAAATAAATGACAAACTTAATTTTAATAAAATCGTGAATTTATTGTACAGATTATTTTTTGAGAATATGTTAATAAATTGAGATGTAATATTGAATGTTGTTAACAATTTAATATCATAAATGTAATATATCAACCGATAACATTATCTATATTTGAATTCTTGAGTGTTGAGTGTTACCTTTCAACTCCACTCATGAGTGAATGGTGTTTTGCTGATAAGATTGCACTTCCTCCCCAGGCCGCCTGTATGTATAAGGAGATATATCAAAATGAAATTTTGTTAGTAGTGGTTGTACATGTAACGTCAAGTTAAATGGAATGGGGCCGTACACTATCGTTCATCGTCCCAAACATTAGTTATTTGATATACAGATGATGTGATTTTTTTATCACTTTAATATTAAGTCATTATCTCATAACAAACTATTGAAATGAGATATTTGGCACTAACATGTCTAACATTGAAGCAAAACTTATTCTTCCGTGCAGTATAGTTAAACTAAATTAAATTACAGTAACCTCATTAATACAATACAGTGATCACAATCTAGTATCTAAAACGTACGTCGACGTGCATCCAGACGGAGTGCTTCTGACAAACATCGGCTATAGCATTGAGGTCGTCATAGGAACCAAGAACAGTCGAACCACAGGTGGCCATCACAAACACCGGCTGTGTTCCCTTTAAACATTATCAAAACACTACATAAATGATTACCTAGTATATATAAGAGACATAGGATGAGGTGGTTCTGATTTTTCTTTACAATTCTTCAAACTCGACACTCATTTCAGGTTCCTGTGTGTTAAAGTTTCATTCACAAAGATAAATAACCACTCGAGGTGAATTAGTTGATTTATTAATAGGCTGACGAAGGAAATTTTAATATATATCTAACTGCCATTGTTTCACTTATTGAAAACACAAACTGACACTTTTGCCAAGACAGCTTAAATGTTTAGCCAAAATACATTTTATTGTTATTTTTACCTACGTATGTTTCGTGACATTGCTTACCTTCGTTTTCTGTTCTGTGAGTTTTTTGTCAAGATCAGTTGGACACATCCGTCCGATATCGTCCGTATTGACCCTGATTAGGTTGTCCATTCCTAATCCCAAAAAACTGGACCCTTTGGCTAGAGAGTAGTGTGCCTTAAACAGTTTACATAAAACACTTGGTAATTAAAAGGACGAAAGAAAATGAAATTTCACAGAATGATATTAGTTACAACATATTGATAGTATGACGTCGGGACATGGAAAAGAATCACCGTTGTTGTGTTTGTCGCTATGACAACCTGCTGTTGGAACATTTTCTATGAAATCCTCATTATCCAGTTACTATGGCTGTCTCATTTACGCAATGTGACGATGTTATTTCACGGTATACTCGTTTCTGTGATAAATAATTCTTAGTCTCAGTGACATGTTAGCTTTATAAGACATTTTACAAAGGCAGTAAAATCCAGCATAAACTAATGAACATTAAAATATTAGTTTATTTTATTTTATCCTTTATTAAGATCAAAACACTCATTTAATGCGTTAAATATTTGGATAAACGATTAATATTTTGAATGATCATTTATCTTATGCTTATAAGTGTATTTTATAACACGTATATTAATTATACCTACATCTGAATGAGTAAACATCGTCATGACCTTCGACCCGAAATTACCCGTCTGTTTGAGTGACGGATTGGTCTGGTACCTCGCAACATGTAGTGCTAGGATATTGGAATAGGAACCACCTGGGAAAGATATCAACATACAAAATAAGATATCATAATTCAAAATCAAAATTAAATTAAATTAATATCAATATTCAAAGGCGTCAACATCAGAACTCAGATATAAAATTGCAACATAAACCGCTACAGCAATCTACAATGAAATCAGATGTTCCAGAAGAATAAGTGTTTCAATCACATATGTTACTCGTCATTCACAGAGATTACCGTATGTCACCATGATCAATGTTACTTTCATCCGAAATCGATATGCTTCTAAATTCTGAGTGCTTACTTATAGCATAGATTGTAATTATAGAGTGTGCTTTAGAATATGCTATCTTCAACAATGACAAATTCATTTCTTTACCTGGACAAAAAACACCGTCACCATTTGGAAATCCAAACACTGAACACATTTTTTTCATCATGTACTTCTCCAAGATCACGAAAACAGGGGCTACTTCGTAAGTGTGTCTGCAAGAGTGAACACTTTTTAGTAGAAACAACACTTATTGTAGAAAAAACCCGAAACATATTTAAGATTAGCTTTCAAACGACAAAACATCCTACACTGGCATATTTCATACTTAATTTTGCTTATTATGCTAATTAGATTATTGTTTCCATTGATAGATTCATTACCACAGATTTCATATTTTGCCTGGAATTCTTCTTGTTGTATCTTACCTGGATCAATGCAATAACACGATTGTTCCAGTTAGCATGATTGCTAAGATAATAGTCATGTGTTTCACTGTTTGCAAAACAATTCAAAAGCCTATCAAACATCAGGACGAGGTCTTCTAAGGATGGAATTTCCGATGTAACAAGGATAATTATAAATTCATAAATTCAAATAGTGAATGTGTCGTGCAACTGTACACATAAACATTAAACAAACAATGCGACGGATTTTGTCAACCTACACTCAGGAAAATCTTACGCTTATGCTTAATTTCCCGTAAAGTTTGTCAATGAATCAGGGCCGGAGAGGTGTTCGGACACACGAGGTTTTATTTTTGCACAAGCGTTTGGCATGACGTCATGTGGTGATACATTACGAGTCGACTCACAGATTAGTGCTAAGGGCGTCAGTGAGCCACGCCCCCGCCATGCTGTATGGATCTTTGCCGCTGTAAAGCTGATTATAGAATCGAGGATGACCTGACAATATACAAAATAATATCTTACAGTACATATGATGTCATTATTTATCGATGATATAGGACAACTACGTAGCTTATTTTTTGGATCATTGTAATTAAGTGAACAAAAAAGATAATTTAAGCTTTAGGCAAATTTGACACTTATAATATTATGTTTGTTATTACTTTTTTTTGTGTCTAGGTCATGCTAAATATTTTACATATATATCAAACTAGAGACATGTTATCATCTAGGTGTGAAATAACACTTGTTATTTAATTCGTGTTGTATTTTTGGTACTTTGCACTTTACAAATGCAGAATCCAATAAACAAAATGTTCTGACAAAGTCATATAAAATATATTCTTCGTAAGTGTAATATGTTTAACAACCTTACGAAATCATTTTTTATAATCTAACTTCCCAAACTCAAAAATATCACCTTAAAAACACATATTTACTACATATGCATTATAGCTCATGGTTATTAATGCCTTAAATTTAAAATGATTATAGCAATAGCCGAGTGTTAGTGAGTATATTCGTTTACATGCATATGCATTTAACTTATGCTTTACTGCAAAGGGAATGAAACACACTAAGAAAACAACAGTCGTTAACATACACTGTACCAACGCTGACACTAGTTCAGAGTATATATGAAGTGACACATGAAACTAATCTATAATATAAAGAATTCACAATTTAATGTTAATGCTGATTTCAGATAGAGTCCGAATTCTCTATGTTTCAAGCAAACAAAAATTGCAATCTGTACATTGGTGTTCTGACTATAATTCGATTGATTAAAGAAAATAAAAAGCAGGACCTGTATACATAAGAGAAGAACCAATTATTGACCGTACCTGTTTTAACGCTGTACTTTATCAGGTCACTACTCAGCTCCAGTAACCGTTCGTTTGAAGTAGGTCCGTCTTGAATGTTAAGGTCGAGTAATTTCTGTTACAAAAATAGTTGGTTAGTAAAAGCTACATTGTACCTCAACAACATTCCCAAATGATAACATATATCGCTAATGATCATTGGTAATGGAATAGCTTTAGCTTGTGTTCTATAAATTGAGAATAAACTAAGGATATTGTATGTACATTTAAAGCAGAATCAACCATTTATCATAAGAACCCTTTACAACGTGAACTCTTTGAACTCCTGAAATGTTTTGAATCATAATATAACTTAATGAAGGAACGAATATGATGAAAAAATCTGTTTTGCACACTGTGCTTAAATTCATAATTAAGGTATAATTGTGTTGGTTTTTTTTATTGTGCGTAGTGATATGTTTCATAATAATAATATACAATAATATGCAACATTTGATATAGCGCCCTGTCTAGTTAGAATAAGCCACTCTAAAGCGCTTTATGTTCCATCAGACTGTGGTTATAAAAATATAGCCCGTTCGAATTTCATTTGAATATATGCAAATTAAGTGAATGCCGCAAGGTACAAAAGAAACCAGATTGTTAAATATCTTATATTGAAAGAAATTTCATAAGTAATAAGATTGGAGTATGGCCTCACCTCCAGCTCCTGTGGTTGTACAAAGTTACAGACTTTGCTGTTGACATTTTCCTCCGCCTCTATTGCCTCACTGCTCATTAGTTTATAAAATTTATCCAAGAACTCTTTCATGGAAGGGTCAGTGAAGGGTTTATCTACAAAAACAAGGAATATACAATGAATATAAAATTTGTACAGAGCCCCTAATCTGACATGCTATTCACTTATTTTATTTTGTGTGATGGAAATATTATTTCGATTTAACGAGTTATGGTTTCGTTTTATCGAAAGAGAAATTAGTTATAAAGAAATAATATTTAGAAAAATATCAATAATAACTGTGATCTCTGTAAAAATTAAATGAGACGGACTGGTTATGTACTTGGAGCTAGATACTCACTTATATATGCCATTGTTCGCTGGTTCTTAGTAACAGAATTAGCTATTACGTGACGATCGGTTAGCCTGAGCAGCCGAGGTGGTAGTTGCCTGATAATATGTCGGAACATGAAATTCGTTGACAGCCTGTAACATATGATCGTGTCCATGCATAGTAAATTGTTAAATAATCTATTGAGTAGCAAAGTTCGGAACGCTAGAGTCAAAAGGTGAATGAAGCATGATTCGGTGTCCTGATAATATATTGGAACATGAAATTCGTTGACAGCCTGTAACATATGATCGTGTCCATGCATAGTAAATTGTTAAATAATCTATGGAGTAGCAAAGGCCGGAACGCTAGAGTCAAAAGGTGAATGAAGCATGATTCGGTGACCTTTCTGGGATCAATATCCCAAATAACATTGATAAATAACAGTAAGTCTATCTAACAAGGAAAACAAATGTGTGTTTAGCCAAAGGCTAATCTCCGCACGGTCCTAATAAAATATGGACCATGTGGCCAACTATGTTAGAATACACTGTCGTAACGTGCTAGAATACACTGTCTTAGCGTGCTAGACTACATTGTCTTAACGTGCTAAAATAATTGTCTTAACGTGCTAGAATATATTGTCTTAACGTGTTAGAATACATTGACTTAGCGTACTAGAATGCCTTATTTTAGCGTGCTTGAATACATTGTCTTAGCGTGCTAGATTGTCTTAACGTTCTAAAATAATTGTCTTAACGTGCTAGAATATATTGTCTTCACGTGTTAGAATACATTGTCTCAGCGTGCTAGAATACATTATTTTAGCGTGCTTGAATACATTGTTTTAGCGTGCTAGATTGTCTTAACGTGCTAAAATAATTGTCTTAACGTGCTAGGATATATTGTCTTAACGTGCTGGAAAACATTGTCTTAACGTGCTAGAATACATTGGCTAAACGTGCTATAATACATTGTCTTCACGTGTTAGAATACATTGTCTTAACATTGCTCATTATCAGTTGATTTTAAATGCTTACCCAGCGATGAATAAAGATAGTCGTATGTATCATTGGACTACACTACTATGTTTACACATGATATCGGCAACACGTTTGTTTAACCTCAGACCTTGTCACCTTGACACGACATCCCTGTTCTGACCTTGACTAGTCTACCCTGACGTATTTGTCAAATATCACGCTATACAGACGTTGGCGTGAGAAATTCATAACGACTTCAGGTATATAATCTGTCGCAGCGTCATATATTATTTCCTTTTACATGCTAATTTTTCTAAAATTGAATAATATAAATTAGGTAACCATTTTCTTATAGCTGTGCTGTCGTGTTCACCGAGTGAAATAATACACAACAGACTGTTAGTGCATAACAGTCTTTGCCGGCGTGGCATATTATGATAAAGGACCTATAGCGTTGTAAAATCAAATCAGCAAAGCTAAATGTGTTCATCACGGTTTTCTAGATCTTCGAGCTTATATTAAAATAAACCGATACAAAATTATTCATATATGTAACTTAATATGTCCCGTTGTAAGGGACTTACTTACGTACGCACAGATCGTCGGCAAGTCGGCGATAGTCTGCTGTTTATGCTCTGTATTTAGGTCAGTGAGTATGGAAGACTGTTAGTATCACATATCTCTAAGGAATATCACGGAGACAGGAATAGCCACATCAACTCAAATGATGACGCTCAGCGATATGACGATCAATATTCTATGTACAGTAAAATCTCGTTATACTGTCGTTATATCCCCAAGAAATTTTGACGTTATAAGGGAATTCGGCGATAAATTGAGGACATCGTATATGTATGATTGACAAATGAAAAAGGCATTATATCGAGGTTACTCAGTACTCAGTTACCAAGCACATGGTGGAGAATCCAAATTGGACATAATGTGAAGTTAAATAACTTTAAGTGTGGTTTTGAACCCGGCACTTACCGGTTGAGTCGTATTTTTATTTCATTAACGTGTGTCGGATGTCAGGCAGATGTTTACCACGTTTTGTTTCTTGAATGACTTTCTGACCCGTGTTGCATGTATCGTACTAATGTTAATGTGATGACTGGAGTGACTTATTTGTAAATTGATCAACTCACCACTATGATTCCGGATAAAGTGTTGCACATTTTAAAAACGTACGATTTGGACGTCGCTAATTTAGACTGTTATTTTGTTTTGATTGAGAACACGGACAGTGTTTCCCTTACATTAAAATGGACAAAAGTAAGCATGCCATATTTTAAAGCAAACGTCAATACTTCAAAAGCGAGTGACAGTGTGCAGGCACCTTTTGTTCAAGCTATCGGGAAGCACAGGTCGCCGTCCCAACTCCAGTATGACAGGAAATGAAGGAGGGAGTGGAAGCAGATGAAAATGTCTTCCCATGAAGAAGTAACAGATGTCTCTTGATCATTTATCACATCCTCGAGGATCTACTGGTGAGTCGCCCATACAACATGAAGATAACCATTTTTATACTACTGTGAATGTGGAACCAGTTTGTGAGAAACTTGATGCAAAACCAAAGGTTCAACATCAACAGCACACTACTTTTAACCCAGTGCTATATAATGCTATTGTTAATCATGTATCGTCTCATTCTGTGCCGTCTCCGGGACCACGTTTTGTAGCTGTTAGGTCAGTGCCGACATCAGTCCCTGAAGCATGTGTTTCTATCGACAGCAAGGACATGCTAGCATTTTTAATAGGAAAAAGAAATGATCTTCCTCAGAATCTTGTGTATAAGTAGACATTATCATTCATTGCACACTTTTATTAGCATAATGATATGTGAATCCTACATCATGACATTATAGATAATGGTTATTTATTTTTGATGGACTTCGTTCCCCAATGAAGCATATAGTTACCTAGATCAACCATTAGCATTTCATTATATCAGGCTTTTTTTGGCTCAAACAGAACTTTACCACATCCCATTACTACATTGTTGTGTTACTAGTATTGTGAAATTAACTGTCAGTGCTGCACGTTTGCTAATTTTTTATAACTATTCAATCATCTTGATTTCAATGATTGGTTTTTTGGTACACATGTGTAACTGTTACAAGTAGTTGTCACTGTGTACACGAAACTGTATGTAAATTGTACAATCAGTTTATGTTTTGCCTATTTCAAATTAGAAAAAAATGATCCCAGGATAGAACTAGAATATGTTATAAAGAAATATCATTCTGTAAATTCAATTGATGGTTGTGAAAGAAAAAATAACGGGTCTATTTTTGTTTTGCTGGGGGGATGTTATATACTTGGTATATATCATATTTTCTCTCATTTCCCTGTTGTAAGATAGATCTGTCCAGGGTTAGAAAGGAGTGTAGGAAATTACTATTTTGCACTCCATTTCACGTGACGTGACGAATTCGGAACTCTCCGATGCCGCAATGCGAAAGGCGACGTCATGAAATTAAAACCTTTTATAATATATTTACCGTACATGTTAGAAAGATGTGATTGAATGTTCTGCTCCAAACACTGTTTGCTCATATGGGATAATTCGCTTTTGTCTAAACAGCTCAGGGAAAAATGATATTTTCAAAAATGGGGGCCAGTCCAAACGCATTTTCATGGTTTCTGAGCTTATTCTGGAGATTGGAATTAGAGAAAAATACTCTTTCGTGCCCAAGGGGGTAGGACAAGGAAATTCCACCCTCGGGATTTTCAAATTTGGCAAAACCCGAGGCGAAGCCTCGGTTTTTACCAAATTTGAAAATCCCTCGGTTGCAATTTCCTTATCCTACATCCCTGGTGATGAAAGAGTCTTATGATGCCTTTTAATAGAATATCCGGAATTGACCGTTTTGTGAATTATGGTATTCCGTCTCCGTAAATTATGTCTATGTTTTGCTGTGGACTTCCTGTTTCCGGAAATAAAATGAAAAGTTGAAGAGTGAAGCTGTTTCGATTCATTTCTTAATAATCCTCTTATATCGAAAACCTAGTACAAAGGATATTATATCAATTGTTTAACCTAGATGAAATCAGACGGCATCAACAATGCAGAAGAGCAGAGTTTTTGTTTAGTTATCACACAACAGTTTACATACGTAACTTTCAAAATTACTGACCATGAGTACTTATTTATATTTAAATATTTTGATGATTTTTGACCTCTTTGATATTTGTAAATGGAGAGAGAAAATCATAAAATAGGAAAAAGTCGTCTAATTTGAATGCCAAAGGCTTTGTTTAATGTATTTTATTTAATAATGTCACTTTGATCTTAGATTTGAGAAGGTCTGTGTGTATTTTGTGTTTAAAATTTTTTATAAAAGGTTTTATTCTGATACATATCAGGTGTAACATGTAAATACAATGCAATTAAAAGGACTAATAATATTAAATATATAATGCAGAGGCTATTTTGAGAATGGGTTAAAGCAAACAATGACCAAGAAATTGTGGATTGATTGGAACAAATGGAAAAGCATATGTGTGTTTATGTATTTGCGATGTTGAAAGAAATTAAACATCATCATTTAATCCATATGGACTTTTAATAAAATAAGTAAAGACGTTTTCAAACAGGTAAATTTCGCTTTCAAACATAACCCTGGCAGTTATTTTTCCCCTTTTGTTCAGTCTATAAATAAATCACGCACAACCTATGGCAGAATGAGACCTGTACATATGACATTTATGAAAAATCTGTCAGTTTCTTCTTGAGAATGGCGAAACCAAGCTTAAACTTTCCAATCAAAGATGGTTTTGGATGAATATAATAATTTTTGGTTTCCATTGTATAAGAATATAAAAATATGTCTTTTAAAGCTTGAAATATTTAGTTCGGTATACAAATATGGCTTACCTTACCGAAATAGCCTTCAAAATTATTTTTTATTTTATTTTTTTATATTAATATTCATATCAACGAAAAGCAAACAAATATAGCATGGGCTTCATCTTGCAGGGAAATCATATCAGGTGGGGCGAGAATTGTAATGTATTTAAGATGTATATGTAAAACACACTTAACAAATCAGTAATCAATCTCGGTATGTAGATTTGATCGAAGGCAAATATCAAGCGATATCAGAAGAGTATCTTTGCCCAATCTTTCAGCTTGATATGTGATACATTAACGGGTGAGATATATGTAGGACTATAATCTGTCGAAGTGCTATACATACATACGGGACACGTCTTAAAGCTTCGTTAATGTTTCGAGGCCATTTTTTCACACATCAATCTCCAACTTGGTTTCGAGGTGTTTTATTGCCAAAAAGGATCACATATTCTGATTTCGCTTAATTTCATGGTCATTTTCAATATGAAGACGCCTCGATATCTGTAGAAGTCTATGTACACAAGTGACACGCCGTGGATCATAAAAAGAAGTTATAATTACTCATTTTGTTCCCTTTTAGGTATCTGAATATTTGTATATACTTATTCCTAGTCATGAAACTAGCAAATCTATTAATGTTGAAGGCTGATTTAGTATTGAAAAGGAAGTATCTGACTATGCTTCATTAAAAGTGCAGATCCATACAAACATGTGACACGACGTTTGTCGTAAATATTGAATATCATATGATACGTGTAAATGAGTTCGCCTGAAGCAGCCAAAGAAGGCAGAGACGCCTAGCGGTCAGTCGTGTTTTTTTTTGTTTTGTTTTTATTTTGTTCTTATCATTTTTTATATATATATTTAAAGAAACTTTTGTCATTTTATTTTTCAATTGAGGAGAAACTTAGAAACTCTTGTCGGTTTTTTTTTTTTTTTATACCAGGGAGTTACTAAGAACCTTGTTATAACATTTGTTTTTATATATATACATATGTGATAATTAAGATTAAATATCCATGTGGAGTAGTTTTTTTTCATCTTTACTGTTCTCTTTATATATCAAAGTGAAACTAAGTGAACATGTGTAGTATAGTTTTATCAATAATATACCTTGTGATGTCGCTTACTTTAGTTAGTATTTTCAAAGATATAAACAGATCATCAGGTTCAGCAGGCCACAGCTCGTGGGAATGGACAAAGAACATGATTTCTTCTTAATACACCTTTTGCTATCGATCTCCATTTTTTATGGTGTCAATGTTGTTTATAGTAACACGATCAAACATAAAGTGAATATTCCATCTCCAGCATTTCCAACCTTTTTTCCCGATTAGAAATGTAAATGAGGCTCAGCAGATACCCTTTATGTTGCAAGGAGATTCCAGAAACGCTTTTCATGAAATGAAAATTGAATGTTCGAATGTCTCACGAAGAGGAAATAACTTCTAATACCTTAGTTATACATCAAAGTTCGATTTCAGACAGGTTTTGTAACTATATTAATACGTAAAGTACATGTTTACAAGCATCATGTAGAAAAAAGGATAACAAACAGTATCTCCATATTCTGAATGTGTATACAATAAGAAATTTGGAAATAAATAAGAAAGAAGTAATAATTCCGCGCTTAATTTGAAATTAATGCTTGGGAGACGATATTCCGCCCACAATACTAAGGTAGTGCTGCTCGGGTATTTGAAGCGATTTCATTCTCATTAGTGACAAGAAATATTTCAGAATCGATTGATACTGGTTTCCACACACAATTGAGTTTGTCTTTTTATTTTGCAGTAACAATGTCTTTTTTTACACCTTTCGCACTAGAAAACGTAATGGGAAAATGTACGTAAGAAAGCTAACCGATGGTAAGTACTGATAGAGAGAATATAGTAAAAGGCACAAACCTTAACAAGATAAGCCTTTAGACCGATATCAGGGTATTCGATATAACCAAGTCGACCTACATAAACACGAACTGCCAGGCGATTTGATATAAACTTCGAGTGAACGTGGTGTTCCTACTCACGATAACCTATTATAAAATCATAGCTGCTTTTCTTCTACATCTTTATTCAGTTGATATCTTGATCTCATGTGATTTTATTCATGATCGCCTCACGATCAACACGAACAGTTCTAAATCTAAAAGCATACTGAAAGCGGTATATATATGGTAACCATGTTGACTAGGGTTTTGCTCGAATAACACGGTAACCAAGTTTCAAACGAATTAACAAGAACCTAATTAAAACCTCAGTTGACATTCCTGTTAGTACTCACAAATTGTATTGTAAAAGTTGCACTTTACTCCACATTATCTCTATGTCAAATCGAGTCTCGACATAAAACAAATAAGATGAAATATAGGAGTCAAACCCTCCCTTTTACCTCAGTTGAAACGGCTTAACTTACCTTATCAATGTTTATTTCATTCCCGTTATCGACCTTTTTAAGCAGTCATCTTCATTTTTCTTGATACTATCTTTAAAGGCAGGAAACTGCCTAACGATAGACGGCAATTTAATTGTATTTCCATACGTCTCGGCATATAATATTGGTCAGTTATATGCCATTACCTTCAGTAAAAAAATGTCTACTTCACAAGATAAAAAGTAGGATTCTCTGTGACTAGAAGTGCTGAGCAGTACATGCTCACGCTACTTTACGTTCCTTTATAAATGGTGCAACTTTTGTAATGAAAACTATTAAAATACAATAATAGTTCTTCTGTGGCCTCAAAATCAATTCAAATAAACATTTCCGTTATTTTTTAGAATAAAAAGTCGCCAAAGTGATGTTTTAAATCTTAATTCCATTCTGAATGTAGGCGTTAATGTCTTAGATTTCAAGTGATAATTCCGGACGCTGATGAGTTCACTGCCAAGACCATCCGGTATCCCGTTTTGTTGTAGTTCGATGTATTAGAACATCTAGGATTGGGTAATCAAAGAAATGCAAATTTTGAAACGAATGGTGAATCGTGTACACTTAAATCAATACCAGGATTTAGATTTGGTAAAATATATCAACATCGATATATCCTTCCTTATTTTGTAAATCACATATAAAATGCAGCAGGGTATATATGCTGTTTTCATGCAAGACATTTCGCAAGGACAGTCTCGTATAAAATGGTACATTGGTATGATAACGTTCTGTGTATATCTCCCGGATACATTTTAATTCAGCTGTTAAGTAGGTTGACCCCAAAAACAGGAAACATGTACAGATTATATGTGATTCACTTTAATATGTAAAGGATTTTTGCAGCTATGAACATAATAACACCAACACATATCAACTTAATAAAATTTATTTTGTTCCCCGTTAGCTACTGTTTAGTGTTTGAAATGACGTCGCATAAAAAAATTGATGATAATGATGAAAATATGAGAGGTAGAAAAATATAGTATGTGAGTTTTGACCCTAATTAGAATTTAAATAATGACACTTTCATAGAGTGCCAATATTACACCAACACAGTAGTAATATATTGTTAACACCTCCTGAGGCAAGAAGTGTTTTATCCCTTTACATATACATGTATTTGTATAATTCCCTGTTTATAAATCTAAACAGGAATCACATTGTATTCCCCTATAAATATGCATAGACAGGAAGGAAAGACGATGAAACAGTGATAGTTACATATGGACGGATGTGATAAGGTTATCTCCCTTTATCAGAAAAAGAGAACATATAACATGGTTTATCAAATTGCTATGGTTGCCCTTATTATATTCCAATTTGCCATGAATTTGAATTTTCGTAAATATGTCAAATGATATTAACCGACTATGTGTTCTCTTGTTCTTAAATGAATAAGTATCACCAATTCAGCACGTATTCACTCATTTGCTCATATTTACACACATTTGCTCATATTTTATTTCTTCCGAAGAAAAAATGGTCCCGTATTATTTCACTTTTGTTACCCATTGTTCTTCAATGGAGATGTTAAGTAGGTATCGCCATGATTTACCATAGTGTTTCGAGACTCAGTATTATGTATCACACCATCTATCTGGAGATGGTCTATATTCGATTTGTATACCAAATGTGTAGATTCTGCCACGATTTCAAGTACCAAACGTCTGCCATGATTTCAAGCAAAAGTTTAAAAGAATGAAATTTGATTTATCAATTTAATTAGTTCTTTCTGAAGCAAACTTCGCCTAATTCTATTTTAAACTCCTTATTGCTACCGGTAATATCATTTGCATTAATGTCTACATCTACTATTGGCAGTGCCGAAGCCCTCCTTGACACAAAGCTGAATACCTTCCTTCCCCATTGGCCGGGTATCTGCAAAAACAGACAATATCAGTGATTAGTTTATAACGTTCAATTAAAAGAAATACTTCACAATATTTTAAAAAGAAATTATACAATTTCGTTTAAATTATGAAAAGTCAATCATTTATTAAATGATACAAAAACAATTATCAAATGATTTAGGATGTTTCGTATATTAGTAACTTGAAAGAATTATGTAACAATTTAAAACTTTATAGAAACAATTGTATTGAAACTATTCATATCAATTTGTCTTTATTTTTACCGTGAGGCTATTTTTAATCATGTGATAAAATTACTAACATTGCAGTTATCCTCGTCTATCTTAACATCAACATGGCGGGGCTTAGCACCGTTAGGCTTGTTGGCCATGACATCAATGCCTTGGAAGGTTTCAAAGGAGGTGGTGGCGAGGTGTATATCGTGATTTAGACACTTGTATGTAATAGTTTGTCGTGCTTCCTCACTGGCCAATTGTAAACTACTGAGCTGCGTATTATCGGCTTTGTAATAGAACTGGAAATAAACATAGAAAAAGAAAAGAATATTATACAGTCTATACTTTTTTTTTATTGAAATTCAAAGTTATCCGTGTTCTTAATGCGAAAAGCTGAAATAACTGATCAACATTCAAACACTGGGTATACATGTATCCGTTTTCGATTTATGATAACCAAATGCATGAGAACTTTAATACAATCTAACCTGGTTCAAACACTTCATATGGTATTAACATGTGTAATAGAAGACAATAAAATTCAATCAAAAATGAATGTTGGTTAATTTTTTATGTTTTGATTTGTTCTAAGATCATCCGACATATGTTGAAAGGAATGACGAGAATCATTGTTGATATAAATTGATTTGCTTACCTCTTTTATGCTATCAATGAATGATTCAACGGTATCCCATGTTAACTGTAATAGCAATATATGAATAAGGTAAAATCAAATCTCGGAGGATTCAACAACCGTTGCCGTTTATTTTTTGCACCAGTAGATTTAGTATTTATCACTGCCGTAAATTACAGATATTGTATGTTTTTGCAAGTCACTTTGTGTTTTTATGATTCATTATGTAATAAAACACTGCTACTAAAACAAACATTTATTACTTAAAAAAAACCCACCATGATATAACAAAATGAACATACAGTTGCAGATATTATTATGTTGTAACAGGGAAAAACTTACGCTAGAAGGACAGTTTAAAAATTGTTTATATATAAATACCTCATTAATTCCCGGTGTTATACATGTCTCTCTCTCCTCAAACCTACAGTATGCTCTGATTGCGTTATTAATCTCCATACCATCGGGGTCGATCATGAAAAACCCTTGAAATACAAAATGAAAACAAATGAAAAATTATAAGCGATGAAGTGAATGTTTGAGATTAAGCTTGGTTTCTTCAATGTCCACATACGCAGAAGGAAACATGATTCGAACTCAAAAAATATAAAACTTGGTAAAATATAAGTCACGGAAATAATAAAACAAGATGTGATGGAAAGGTAGGCGTTTTATATTTTATATACGTTCTCAAAATAAGAATCGGGAGTTATGACAACAAAACCACTAGTAAGCATAATAAAAAACGTCGATATTCATGTCGCATGAAAATAAAATATATCTTAATGAGACAATGTATATTTATAATGGAATACATTTGTTTAGACAGGTTTTGGTTAATTTGGGTCTGAATTAAGTGCCCGTTTGTCTATTCTAACCGTTTTTGAGTTGTGCTCTAGCCTCTTCAGTCTGAGTATCATATAATTGGGCGCAATCTCGGGCAGGTGCATCCTTGGATCCGTCTGGTACAACTAAACGGGAGATGGAATCCTGTAAGCTTGTCAGGAATTTCGATGGGAGTGCCTTCAAATCCGAAATACATAAAACATTATTTTCTTGTATAACGTCTAAACTATATTTTGTTGAAATGCTTCTGATTCACATTGATTTTAAAAAAATGTGATATTTTAGAACAGTTCTACAAAAATGGCCATCTATAATGTTCACAGTAAGATCATTTGCTTTTCTATTGCCAATTAATTGGTCTAAGTACTCGGATTATGTTTCTGGCTTCGTGAGGTTACTTACCATAAGAGCTTGATCGTACATCTGTAATGAAAGGTTTTCAATCAAAAGTTAAGCATATTCACTAGGGCATTTAATTATTAACATAATTCTTATCAAAATATTTCACAGGAAAAAAAATAAAAGTTGAAACATGTTACAGACGGTTGTTTTGAAAACAATATTTCGTAGGAATTATAATAATAGATAAGTTCTTGATATTTTATTTTGATTGTTTCTTAACTTAAATAAACAACTTTCAGTTCACTTACCCAGTCACCTCCTTTAGATGATGTTTGTGGGCTTGGCCTTGCCATGGCGTATCCCTATAAATCGTAAATCAACAGTAATTGCTTTAAGAAAACAAAATTGATTGATGTTAAGATGTTTTCCCATATTTTGTATTTATAACAATATCTATTCCAATATCTCATAGAATCATGTATTTTTTTCAACACGACAGAGAAACAATAATGAAACAGTTGTTTGAGTTAAAGTATTGTGCAAATATCATTAATAAACACGCAATACACAATCGACGGCTTTCGGATAAACCCTTTTTTTACCTCTTTAATTTATTTATTTTATTTTAGCACTTAAATTAATCGCGTTTACTTTTATCTTTTTGCATCTAGATTTCTAGTTTTGGTTTTGTTATTGTATGTTTATGATATGGCATGTTAGTTTTTATAAACTCTCCGTACTTACTGGAGGTCCTGGTGCTCCACGGGGCCCTTGTGGTCCAGCTGGACCCTGCAATATTATAAATCGATGATGCAAAAAGGAAAAATATACTTATTTGTTTAATAAAACGTATACATGTACCAATTAATGAAAAAAATATTTTTTGGATGCATTGAAAAAACACTCATTATCTGGGAATAGTATTTGGATATATACTCATATTGGACTAAAAACATAAGCATGTTACGTTACATTACTTCTATGTTAAGATTTTGGCAAAGTTCTTTTACATCAACTCTCAGTCAAACTCTCTTAAAATAGGGATTGAACCTTAGTTGGCAAACCAGTAGCGATTTCATTGTAGGGATTACAAATGAAGATGAACAAAACATGTGTTCAAACACACTTATTTGAGTAACCTTTAAAGAAATGAAATTGTATAATTTGAGGTACAATGTATATTTGTAGACTGTTTTATTACTCACGGAATCACCATCATTTCCGGATGGTCCTCGAGGTCCCTTTAAAAAGAAAAAAGAAATTGATTAAGCTGACTTTAATGCATCTTACCAAGGCATGTTAAATAAAGATTAAATTCTTCTTCAGCATATAAGTTAATTATGAATATCTCTCATATTTTTCTTAGATCGATGTATCTGTTGTATCTTGTAAATTGTTCCTAAAAAATCCGGGACGCTTGTATTTTCGAAAATATACAATTATAGTGAGGCGAAAAGTTTAGCTTCTGAAAAGATTCTACGTTATTCTTAGCCTTCAAATAGTTTTTCTATATTGGGTTTAATATTTACAACAGGAATACTTACCTGTGGTCCTGGTAATCCGACGGCACCTGGCTCTCCATCACGGCCACTAGATCCACGCTGTCCTGCGTTTCCCTAAAGATAAAATCAGAGTTACGTAACAAAGGTAGAAAATAAATCAACATTGATTTGCATTAACTTTTGTTTCTTTTTTGTAAACACGTTTTTCTTTTCCAAAAATTATTGTAAATCCTTTAATTTTTACTCGAATCAACAACAGAAGGCAATACTGACTTTAGCACATAAAACATCTATAGAGTATCACTGTATTTACAACCCTTGCGTTAATGTAGAACAGAATACACAATAGTGTTCGGTATATCATTAGCATCTAACATTTAGAACGAGCGGTTATTTGAATAATTCATTGTATAGCAAGCGTATATAAAGTCCAAACCTATCATAATTTGGTAATGCTATAATTAGAACAAGTTTTGCATTTAAAGATATCTTAAGTTCTGCTTAAAGAACCATACTGACATGATTGTATTCATTGAGATAATAAGCAACTGTTTCAATAATTAGTTTATAAAATACGAATAAACCAACCACGACATCAGGTTATGTTTTATTTCATTTTTTTACTGTAATGTATTTTTGATAGTATATTATATAACAAATTTAATTTGAAAGGTGATGCCAATGTACAGGCCAACAGTTAGTTCCTTATCGCATAGAAATTATTTGTTTATTTGTATTTACGTTTTCAGCACCTATCGCATTCTTTAACGTGCTAAGTCATCAATTATAAAATTATACTTACTGGTTGTCCTGGGGGTCCTGGAGGTCCAGCATGTCCCATATCACCTGGATTTCCCTATCCGACAAAAATATAACTTCAGTAAAATATGTGTATCGAAAATATTTATCATTAATAGCCAGGGTAACATAATAGTTCATCGGTGAATGAACGGGTTTGAATACGTATAATCAATAGTAATTTAAAACAGTAGAAGCCGAATTCAACAGATGAATACACAGATGAATAAATATCAAGGCATATGTGTAGTTTTGAGTAATGTTAAACTTTGTAGCACTTTTTTTCGCGCTTGTAACAATTTTGGCTGGATTTTTAGTTTCACTTTTCCATAGATAGCCAAATATTGCAACTCCAAAAAGGTAACAATCAAATAGCATATAAACATACCTGTGGTCCAGGAAGTCCCTGTCCACCTGGCAGACCTGGCCATCCCTTATCTCCCTACACAGAAAACATCACTGGATTAAAGTACTATACTTGGATTGCATACATGTTAGTATTCGACCAATTTGATATTGACGGAATAAATTTCGTGACATTTAGTATGCTAAAATATTACTGAAAATCATATTTCATTTATAAATTATATATTTGCGATTGCGCTTGCGTTGAAAAAATATTGCCAGGTAATGTTAGTGAGAACTTGTTCATCAGATTATAGTTGTTATTTAATAAGTTTTTACATTAAACTACACTACTATTTTAAATATGCAAATGATGCTATATCTCTATATATTGTCTACAAAAAAGTGTCCATACCCTTGCGCCTGGTGCGCCCGAGTCTCCCTTGTCTCCTTGAGCTCCTGCTGGTCCCTGTGAAGTGGAATAAGTAAAAACGTTACACAGTTCATAATACTTCAAACAAGCTTTTCAGAATTTTAATTTGAGTAATTTTGTAATTTTATGCATATTCCGAAAAAGTACAGAAACGTAAGTTTATACATATTGCATATAATTTTGCACATACTTATTCATATATTTACATATTTAAAACCGTAAAACCTACAAAAACAAAGAGTTTCCTTCGTAACTAAAATATAAATAATGTCATTCAAATGAGGAGGTGGTACAATTCTTTGTTTTCGTATAAAATAAAATAATTTACGCCAGGTTTTGATATAGTACTAAGTGATCAAGGGCGTCAGCAAAGTGTACATAAAATACCATGGATTCAATTACAGGTATTATTGATATAGATAAATGTTCATATTTAAAAAATCTTATTTATTACTGTTATATACTTCATAACATAGCCAATGGTAATGATTAAGAACATATATCGACTTGAATTTACTTATCTAAACTATATTGATAATTTAATCTAAACACATTGTTCAGCCTAAATTCAATCACCGGTGAAGAATTGTGCTGTCAATTACACAGACCCCTAATAACTCACCGAATGTCCAATTTGTCCTGGTGCTCCGACTGGGCCACTCTCTCCTGGCGCTCCCTAAAATATTGGTAATTATAATATCAATAGTGTTACTATTTGGTATTGTAAAAGAAATAACAAAATAACATTAAATTCACGGCATAGACAGAGAGACATACGTATGAACTTACCCTTTCTCCTCTTTCCCCTTGTTCTCCTGTAGAACCGCTTGCTCCCATTGATCCCTGAAAATCATTACACAAAATTATTTACAGGAAGATAATAGGATGATTTTTTTTTTATCTTTAATTTAAAAAAAACCTAGCAAAACACAAGATATTTTAAATTCAAATTGCAGCATAAGTTCATTGTCAGTGTAAGAATTAAGGAAGGTAAAACGTGATTGACAAAATTCACCGATGGCAAATTGTTTATAGTTGATAGTATGTAGTAGAGTTGTTTGAACAATGTTATTACAGTAAATGTTACCTCCTTCAATATGAAAAAGAAATATTCAGACTGAAAAGTTTATAAAACATCTACACAACAAAATTTGAAACTTGCCTTTTCTACATGAGATCAGCAGTTTTTATTTTAGAAAATAGTTGTCTCCTTAGTTTTAAATGATAGAAAGCTCGAAAAATAGGAGCTGTTATTGGGCAAAATTATTTTTGTTCAAATTACTGACAAACGATATATATCATCAATGCTATTTTCAGTTATCATTTAAGAAGAAGAATATACGACATCCACCTGATAGGTAAGTAACAATATGTCCTCGTTATTTCGAAATGCTCCTGAGGAATTATCTTTCACAAAACGAAACAATCAGTGGAGGATTCGAAAGCAATTATTAGCTCAGTGATATCAGTAGCCTGCAGCGTCATCCATTGGACTTACCTATTACAATACAGATAATTATGAAATGGTTTGATCTTTTTTAGCAGAGATTTTGAGTGTCTCATCAAACAAAGTGGATGACTTATGGTTCAGGGTCAGATTAAGAGTAATTGGGGAAACGTCTGTTTTATTTGTGTTACAAGCAGTGATTAAATGTATGCATATCGCCTTAAATACGGTGGGTTCCATAATTACTTAGATTATGTCCTTTACTCAATAAACAGAATATGAAAGAATAGTGGAGGTGGAAAAGGAATACACCCGTAATGTGATATAACCTGTGGTCCAGGGGGGCCTTGAATTCCATTTGAGCCCAACGGTCCTCTATCTCCCTTTGCACCAGAGTAGCCTGGGGGTCCCATGTTGCCATCCATACCAGGAACTCCCTGAAATTAAAAATACCAACTTGGTAAGGACATCACTTCGCAATTCTGTATGTGTTTGTTTTCTTCATCTGAAGAACCCTAAGTGATTCTTAAATGTCCTATTCGGGAACAGCATCAGTAATTCACAAAGTATCAAGCGGCTTGTTGCATACTACTCTTGTGTAGCCAGGTGTTCAAATACAACATTCAAATCATGGCACGTAATAGCAGTGTCAAGGAATGTATGTATGTGCACGTGCGGCACGGACCACCCGTCCAAATCCCAGTCACCGCCGTCTCCCTACATCACTCTGACTTTACCTCTCGATGGGAACACACGGAACCATCGAGAGCACAATCCAGTCACATTAACCTTGCTCTGAATGTTCCTGGTAAGTATTTGTGTGTAAGTATGAAAGAGAATAATTAAAACATAATAACCAAAAACGTAACAGCAGAAGGCAGAGTTAAATTATAAAGTAACAAGTAAAAGCATCTAGTGGTGCTAACATAACTGTATAATGATTTAGAAATTGCTTTATAGTTAAATGGAATTCTATAGTTCAAGCCAATAAAATTCACGACTACATATCAAACAAACTAAATTCAAACAGAGATCATTGTAAAGTAACGATTCTGATTGTAAAAGAAAGAAAAATGTTGAAAACGGATCTAATTGTAAAATAAAGATTCTGACTGTAAAGAAATTTTGATGTTGACAACGGCTCTAATAGTAAAAGATAAGTTGATGTTGACAACAAATCTGATTGAAGCATAATGGTCTGATCACCATTCTATTGACAACACACACAAATATGTCTTACAACTATGCCAACAAATACAAAGTGACTGATATTTTATTTTAATAACACATTTTGGAATTCTACAAAATTGTTACATACTGTCTCTCCGGGCAGACCAGGGTATCCGGCGGTTCCCATTGGTCCTGGTGAGCCTGGTGGTCCTGGGATACCGTCTTGACCGTCTTTTCCTGAATTACCTGTCGGACCCTGGTAAATTAAGATACGATGATAATTTTATGATATGTGGAATCATCTGTACGAAAAGTTAATTTGGCAACTAAGAAATTAACTTTGCTTAGGCTTACTGCTGATGACAATCATCAAAAAAAAAATCCGGCATATATGCTTATGAAATGCTATTGTTTAATGATGGTACGAACCTGTGGTCCAGCTTCTCCCTGGGGTCCAATCTCTCCTGGCATTCCGGGGAATCCTGGTCCACCTCTCTCTCCCTGGGGTCCAGTAGGCCCGGTACCTCCTTGCGCTCCCTGTGATGTTATGTTACAAAGACAATTCAATGATTTGTGTTGCGTAGACTTGTATTTCTCTCTGACTGTTATATTTATATTGATTCCTGATATGTGATTTAAATATGTTATTTAGCTGGTCTATACTTAGTTAGCTCTCTTAATTGTGGAATTCACATTAGGAACACTTACAATTTGTCCGTCGCTTCCTCTGTCGCCAGGTGATCCATCTGCTCCTGGGAAGCCATTAGTGCCTGTGGGACCCGGAGGTCCTGGTGGTCCGATTTCTCCACGATCTCCCTTGAAGAAATTTTGTGGCATGAACTTATGTAGAAAATGATTTCATTTTCTTTCGTACTTACTGTATATATTGAAAGAAAAAATAGAGAAATTAAAATCTTTGTGTGATTCAACGAGACGCAATTGAGACGCACATCAACATTTTCCCGAAACAACAATCTAAACGAGGATTTGTGCCTCGAGTCATTGAGCTGGGTTAAATCCGTAGAAAATAGATGTATATTTAAAGTTAAAGGGTGACTTGCTGTTTACCTGCTCTCCTGCCCTACCGCCTGGTCCAGCCATTCCGGTGTTACCCTTCTCTCCTGTTAAGCCGGTGGGTCCTGGCCTTCCAGGAGCCCCAGGGGATCCAGCCATTCCCATAGAGCCAGTCTCTCCGGTAGACCCCGGTGCACCGTTAAGTCCATCATTGCCCTAAAAGAATAGGCATAAATACGGAAATATATACAATCTCCCCGTAGGCTGAATGCTAAAAAACGTATTATTATGTTGAACTGATATCATCTACAGGCTATATTGCTATCAATAGCATTAACGAATTTCAGTAATTTGATGTTAATACAATATTGTTATGTTGCGTCTTACTAAAAGGACTTTTGTTTCAAGCAATGCATTTATTACATCAAAAAACTTGATAAATAAATATTTAAAAGAAAGTAGATAGGTATATACTTACTGTTTCTCCGGTAGCTCCGGGCTCCCCTGGGTATCCTCTCGGGCCTGGGTCACCCTAAAACGCGAAATAACATATTATACGTATACTGATATAATTATTTCGTCTTAACTAATATCGAAAGACTATTTTACATTGTCATATCTGTCATTTTGCGAACCCCAGTTCCTACTAGGTAATCAATTATAGGTTTAATTCAGTTCATCTTTTCTCTTTCAGTTAATGATATTGAGAAATTGAGAAAAAAACTAAGGCAACACCCCATAAAAAACATAAAAACTTAATATATATTACTGATATTAAGAGAACACGAAAAATGACTTACACGTGGTCCACTTTTGCCTGAGTCTCCTTCAGGTCCGCTCTCGCCCGCCGGTCCCTAAAGAACAAAAGTCAGGACATGTGATCAACAACAGTATAGCAAAAACGAATGAAGCATACTGAGCTGACAGGTATTTGATATCATAACCAGAATACTTATATCAAAGATATTTGCATTCCTGAAAACAATTTGTACATGAACTGTAAACAGTGTAACCAATATTCAGAGATGCACCTTCAGGAAGTTCATAACAAAGTCTGTTTTTGCATTTCTCTTCTATTGAAAGTCATACACGCTTATGCTGCAATCACAGTCATTTCCTTGAGTACAGCACTACTGGAAATTCAATTATTATAAGATTTAGATGTTTTTCTAACGACTTGAGCATTTGTCTAGTTAGTCGTCTACTGCAAGCTATTCCGAAAGGCTGAGGTTGTAGAAGAACATATTGAGTTTTGATTCCGAATGTCGCTGGTTCTTTGATCAGACATATATAACACTAGTGTTTATACTATATAATTATATTTTAGGTATTAAATGTGAACTTAGCTTGCAATAGTTTCCAGTGTTCTGTATGTTTTCCTCTTGTATGACAACCTGTGACTTTTCGCCATCAAACTATGTTGCCTCTTGCTTAATACAGAATCAGCTATGTGTAATATGAAAATAACTGCGATTGGAAATTTTAACATTGGTCACTTAATACAGGTGGTCTCTTATTATAATTGGTCTTTCGAGCAGGTTTGGCTGTACCTAAAACTACCCGCCATTACTTGGAAGGTTCGCACATATATGTATACTATTATGAACATACTGGTGGTCCAATTGGTCCCAATGCTCCTGGTGCTCCAGCGTATCCTCTTGATCCCCCCTCTCCGGGTTCTCCTGATGCTCCGGCCTCTCCAGGTGCTCCACGGTCTCCCTTCAATGGCATTGTGAGACTGGCAGGTCCGACAAGTCCGGGTGCGCCTGGTGCTCCCTGTTCTCCTGGTACACCTTGCAAACCTGGTGCTCCGACCCCTCCTGGTTCTCCCTGTCAAAATAATATTTGATTGTTGTCATTATATAGAGGGTCCCCAACGAGTGATGATCGGTTATCATGTTAATCTAACTCGGGTTAATTAGTTTTCAAATGATATAGAACACGAGGTTTATCGAGCGTCTTTTACAATTTGAAAAAATAGCCTGGTTTATATCTTATTCTGTCGTTTTCTTCACAATAGAGTTGTAATGTATTTTAGGATAACAGAATATCATTTAAAATAATGAATTTCCTGACATTTTTATGGGATTTGATGTTTCCTCAATACTAGGTTTGTAATTTTCGAATCAACTTTGATTTCTGATTTTGTCTTTTTGTATTGACTTTTAACGATGCTATAATTTTCCTGTTTTACGTTATACTGTCCGCACGCTGATTAGAACTTTTAAGTGTATCTGCATTTGAATTTGCAAATATATCACTTACCACAAAACCTTGTTTTCCATTCAGACCTGGCGGCCCAGATTCTCCTGGAAGTCCCTAAGAAAATAATCAACTATTTAAGTATCACATTTATATTAATTATATATGATATCCTGAAGTTGAAAACAATGCAATGGAAATACCGTAAAATACCCTAAAATGTTTAAAAACAAATAAACAAACAAACTAACAGCATGCTACAATATAGAATCAGTAATAGTTATAGGTATGCAATTGAATTGCGTTTGGGAGTTATCTCAAAAGCAGCAAATATTTGGGAAGAACTTGTTCATTCCTACCATCTACTTCGCAGTTATATTTGAAAAGGTAGAAGCAAAAGGATTGTACATATCTCAATTAAAACCTATGTTTGCACTGAACAGTAGATTTCACTCACTACAAGTCCCTGGGATCCGCTATCTCCGCGTTCTCCTGTTGCTCCCGGTGGTCCCTTTATACATAAAACATACAGATATAAGTGATTTGCGGCTTGATATTCTATTATGGTTTAAAATAAATGATACTTAAACGGCAAACTGTAGAGCAAGTTTAAAACATCCACGATGATATATATAACCGTAATAATTTAGTAGTCTGGCTGCACGTAATATGTCAAATGTTGCAAGGAATCGGCTTAATATCGGCTGATTAAGAAAACTAATAAGGGTTGTACTTACGAATTGTCCGACTTCTCCTGGTGGTCCCTCGCCTCCCCTCTCTCCTGGTGCACCAGTCGGTCCAGAAGGTCCAGGCTCTCCGGTGAACCCTCGGTCGCCCTATCGACCGAATGATTTAATTCATCAAATTAATAAACAAGTGTTGCAGCACTTAACAGTTGACATCACTGTGTAACGTTTTCACTAAGTATTTTACCATATTTTTAATATCAATTTTGCTTACCTACTCAATTAGATTTCATTTATACATTCATACCAATAGATCTATATTGAATGTTACATATCTCTCTTTGTACATGTACAAAGCGAACCGTATCTTATCCATACGAATGACACAGCTAAAACATTGTTATCTCTGAATTCACCAATATCAGTCAGTTTTCCACTTGCACAACTCAAAAAACTCCAATCAGTCCTCTTACTCTCAGCAAAATTAGTTAGAAGTGACAATTTACTTAGATAACCTGATATATCAAATTATTTATTGATTTAGAGATATATGCACATAGAATTCGATGTAACGAGATTCAATATGTAGCATGTTCACTTTCCACTTCGCTCAGATAACTTACTCTGCCTCCAGCCTCTCCAGGCACTCCGGGCTCTCCCATGATTCCTGGTTCTCCAGTCCTTCCAGACTCTCCTGGAGATCCTGCCTGCCCTGTTATTCCCTGGTAGTATTTAAAAAACATAGTCAATGTATGAGTTAGGACACATTTTCAAAACAATTGACATTTTCAGAAAACATTTTTGTAAAATGACAATCCTTTAGTAAATTGTGTAACCGTCGATAGAAATAGGAATACAAAATCGTCAGCTCGCAATAAATTCAAAAACCAATTGTTTAGCCTGAATTTGATTTGCTGAGTAGAAGCTCACAGGTAACAAGATTGATATCATTACGTATTTCGATGAAATTTTAGGTTTTGTAAAAAAACCCATATCTACCTGCTATCACACCATATGAGAGAATAAAACAGTCTTAACAATCGTGTAACAAGTTACTATAGATATACGACGTTGAAGTCTGACTACGTAAATATTTATATGTTCTTTTAAGCACGCAGTGTTTAAGGTTAATTTGACTATACCTGGAATCCTGGTTCTCCAATGGGTCCAGACTCGCCACGCTCACCTTGTGGGCCCTTTAAACAATTCAAATTAAATCAAATTGTATGTGGTTGTTAAAAAAAATTGTCACAATAAAGGAAAATAAAAAAAACGATGTTTAGGGAACCAACAAGTAAAAAAATGAATAAAAACAAATGAATATTTCAGTAAAAAACAAAATCCCTCACAATTTGTAAGGAATATCTGAAAGAGCTGTGTTTTCAATAGCAGAAAAATGTTGATTAAAAATATGAAGGCATAATTAATTATACGTTGACCTGCAAACTTTCTGAAGGCACGTTTATGCATGGTAGTTAACTTACTGAGGCCCCTGGTCCTCCAGCAGGTCCTGATTCCCCTGCAGGTCCCTTCGTACCACGTGGTCCACTTCTTCCAGGCGGTCCCGTTTCTCCATCTCTTCCAGGGCTACCCTAAATTACAAAATGGAAACAGGTATGTACGCGTTATAATCACACTTTAAATGTATACCTTTGTTTTCTTATTTTTGAATTAATGGTTCATTGAATCATCAAGCCCAAATAGTACAGTGACTTATATCACTTTAAAAGAAATCATCTGTCTATATGCTAAAATATTGGCAAAATGATTATGATTATTATTAAACTCTATAAGTATGATGATATTTAATCTGATCCATTTAACATTAAGGATTGATAGATTTACCTCGTCTCCTTTAGATCCAGATGCTCCTGGCAGTCCTGGTACACCTGCTGGTCCCGTTGGTCCTTGCTCACCACCCTTTCCCGATTCCCCTGGTACACCCTAGACAACAGAAGAAAACATAGATAATTAACATATTCAAAATCGTACGATATGCTTTATTTGAAAAAACGAATTGAATTCTGGAAGATATTGTCAGTATTATTAAGTTCTTTTATCTGATATGTTTGCGATTACAGAATAGAAATAATATAGCAAAATAATGAAAAGTTAAAACAGAAAACAAAGTTGAATAGAAACTGAACGTATTCACTTACACCTGGTCCCGGCGGTCCCTGGCGTCCATTGTTTCCACCAATTCCTGGTTGTCCCTGGCAACATATCACGATGTAATGCAATAAATATATTGTATTTCGTCCATAAGATGAAAATGAATGTTCTAGTTACACTAGATGTAGTTTTAATTTTAAATTTTATTTACACGAATGCTCAATGAACGTAAAGACGTCACTGTTATATCTACAACAAATGAAAATGGCACTTTCTACATAAACACTAATCAATTCAATTTAGTAGATGTTTAAATTTGAAGGGATATAATACAGTAACTTACTCTTGGTCCTGGTGATCCTGGCAAACCAGCTGATCCTTGTTGTCCCTAAAACCAAAGTTAATAAGCTGCTCATATGTAAGATAAATCTTGATGTTAACGTCAATATATATCGTCTTTTTATACGCTACTCCTCTCCACGTTTTCATTTCATTGATGACATACGGATTTGTAAATGATTTATATTTGATTAGACTCATTGAATAGCTATTTACACATTTAGTTCTTACTCAGTGATAATTGTTTCCTTATTTACGTACATTCTCTCCTGGCTCGCCGGGTTCTCCTGACTGTCCTCGCTCTCCGTCATTTCCTTGTTGACCTGGTGGTCCCATGGCTCCTGGCATTCCCTGAACTCCTTGTGCTCCCTGATATCAAGACAATGTTAATTTGATATTAATTTACTTCATGAATAAATTTGAATACATATTTAATTTCATGAAGTTCGAGTTAGATTGACCCCTTGTTACGTTTTGTAAGTGGATATAAAATATATCTGGACACATGTATAATAAAAACTATAAATAAGGAAAAAATCACCATTCTATGCAATATACTTTGATGAGTTTCTGAATTCCATTAGTATTTGTTTTAGCAAGTAAAAGCTATTAATAATGTCACAAGGCATTTTTTTCAGAAGAATATAAATAAAATAAAGGAAAGCATATGTGATATAATGATAAGTAAGTATGAATGAAGTTAAAAAGGCATATAAAGTAGCATTGATATACTTTCACAAGGTTGCAAATAAAACGAAAAGATATATATTTTGATCATTATTCTAATTTACTGTTTCGTATTATAATATATGCATGGAGTAACTCACTGATTGCTAAAGAAATATTACAAAAACTATCGCAATTACAAAAAAACTCATCTTAGAACATGAACTAATAAACAGAAACCAGAGCATAATTTCTGAACTTATTTCTTCACAGAGACCTAATGACATTACGTACCCTGTCTCCAGATATTCCTGGCGGTCCCATTGTTCCAGGTAATCCTTGTGCTCCCTAAACACATACGACAAATATCCTCATTTAGTTTTCTGCTCTATGTTCTTTCTTACAAAATTAACTAAACGTTTAACATAAAAAAACGTTACAATAGACTTTTATTACATAACACTTTTGAAAATTGCGTATGTTTTAGATTAGGCATAAGATATGTAAATATATATATTATAACTTACGCGTGTTCCTGGATTTCCAGCCAATCCCGGAAGTCCGCGTTCACCCTGGGCTCCACTTAGACCTTGTGGTCCTGGACTTCCCTCACGACCGTTCGCACCATTCATTCCCTATGTGATTTGTAAGAGTAATATTACCAAATTATTAAAACATTATTCTTCGCTATCACCCGTTACGATTCTTTTATAAGCAGTCATCTAAAAGTTTTTTTTCAGTACCATTCATTATATAAAAAACATTTTTAATGGGCAATATTGTTTGGCTTGTGCTACCTCAGTGGAATGTCTAACTGGTTTCAATACATTGTCTGGGGTGGCCTTAATTAAACCGATATCAATCCTTCTTTTTTGTAAACAGTAAAAAGACATATCTTTATTTGATATACTTTAAAATATTTCAGTTATAAGGTTCATGTCACACTTACAGGATCTCCCTTCATGCCCATTTGGCCCGACTCTCCAGACTCGCCAGGGCCACCCTGGGGTCCTGGGAATCCTGGGGAACCTGGAGCACCTTGCAGACCCTATAAAGAGAAAGATATTTGTGTCAATATAACCGAACTACTCGGTAGTGAAGCGGACGTAAAACCTATCAGTCAATCAATCAATCAATGTTCAATTCTATACCCATCAATATCTTCTATGTATTTAGTAATCATACCATATCTTTCAATCTTACCCGTAAAATGTCATGTTTTTTAATATTTAGAGATGCTTGTCTTCGCATCCCTTTCACCAATGAGGTGTCAGCCATTCAGAGGCCGCAGCTACTATGCTTGCCGACCATTACTCATCGGAATCCAACCAATTGTTTTTGAGAAAAATGTCTTGGAGACATAATAAAACGTCGTCTTGGGGACTTTATAACAATAAGAAACAAATCAAAACCAATAAGTCTCTTCACATTGTTGGAGGAATAATCCAATTGCCAGGAAAATATCATTTCTGGGGTTTCTTAATATTAGGAAAATCGAATTACCATGTTTTTTTACATTCTCCTAAGTTTATATGTACATTTATAATATCGGCTTATCAATCACTAAAAATAATTGGATCCCTTAAGCAAGGTGCATTGAACAGCTTTTAAAAATGTCTTAGTATTTAAGATATACTACAGACAGCATTACCGTTTCTCCCTTTGGGCCACCTGCACCGTCACTCCCAGGTCGTCCGGCTTGTCCGGGGGTGCCGGGTGGTCCAGAGATTCCGTTCTCGCCCGGTGGTCCTGTAAGACCCATTGGACCACGCTGACCAGATTGCCCGCCATCTCCCTATTCACCGAAAAAAGAATTAGAACTAACATTGAAATAAGGGACTTTCCAATCACATAATAAATACATATATTAACCTCCTTCTAAATCAAAGTGCGAGCTTAGATTTTCTTTCCAACTATGATATGTGTTCTTACCTTTTGTCCTACACTGCCAGAGAAACCTGGAGGTCCTGGATTACCTGTTGGTCCCTGAGATCCACTCTCCCCTGCAGTTCCGTCCATACCACGAAGACCCTGCAATGAACAGATAGATACAGTTGCGCGTTCGATGCTCAGACGACATTCTATTGCATCGCATATGATAAATAAGGACTACACATATTGTTATAATATTACTAGTAATGTGTATACATGTGAGGAATAATAAATTGAATACCTGTAAAATAAAACCGCAGTATTTAAAGAAATATATAAACAAATATAATTTTTTTGCACAGGGTAGTTTATCAACTGAAATATAACCTACCATTGATCCTGGAGATCCATCCCTACCGCGCTCTCCCAGTGGCCCTGTTGGTCCCATAGGTCCTGGGGCTCCTGGGGGGCCAGAGACTCCAGATGGTCCCTTTTTGAAACAAACAATAGCAGTTTATTTGTTTTGTACTCTCTGTCTATTTGTCTCCTTATTACCGTCTGTTTCTTTGTTTCTGTCCGTCAACGCTCTTTCCGTCACTGTATCTGCCTCAGACCTTATGTCTCAGCCTGTTTGTATGTGGTTTTTCTCTCTTTTTCTCTCATTTTACTGTATACTCAAATAAAAAATACTCTACATTTTCTGTGTTTAGGATACCGTACATGGAAGCATTATATATCTAACCTTTTGTCCCTGTGGTCCTCCTGGTCCTTCTTTTCCGGTGGAACCGGGGAATCCCTGTTGAATAAATGTTAAAAAATATATGTATTTCTCAAACGAATAAGAAATGAAATAAACACAATAATCTATTATGATTTAGTTCATATCGTTATGATATTTCTGGCAACCAATGTTTAATGAGCATAATAAAAATGTCGATGTGTATAAGCTTTCTTATTTCATATTGCACGAGAAAACAAAATCTGATCATGACGGCGACCACCAAAATTTCTCGCTTTCCTTATCTACCGGTATCGCTTGTATTTTATCCTTGTTTATCATGTTGTGCGTAAAGTTTGAGCACGCTATGAATGTTAAAGAGGTTTTGATGTCCTTAAATACATGTTTTGAATGAATTTCTAGTCGTTTAAGGACAGCATATCATCGATAAATCTCAAAATTAGCTACCTGTCGTAATTGCTCTTAGATAAAATCAATTTCATATGAAACACAAACTAGTTGGCAAAGAGAGTGGCATAATTGGAACCAAACTCAATAAAATATCCAACCAGTCATCAATCCTACCATCGATTTCATACTCAGTATGCTTTATCGTGGTCTTTATCGTGTTATTTAGAATGTTTCCGACATTATATTTGTTCTGTCGTTTTGCCGTTTTTGGGAAATAAAACTCTCATAATCTCTCATATAAGAGAGAGTGTTTCCTTAGTTTGTTATACGAAATGGTAGTGAGGAAATGGTAGTGACGGAATGGTAGTGACGGAATGGTAGTGACGAAATGGTAGTGACGGAATGGTAGTGACGAAATGGTAGTGACGGAATGGTAGTGACGTAATGGAAGTGACGGAATGGTAGTGACGTAATGGTAGCTTGTAATAATAATAATAATAATATACAGCATTTATATAGCGCCCTATATAATTTGTAAAATTACTCTAAGGCGCTTTACAACATAGGGATAGTAGTAATGGTTATAATTGTGGAAACAAACAACAAAGGCTTGCAATCACTTTCATACATTTAACAAGCAATGTGCACATAACTGAACAAATAAAAGGGTGGTATTTACATGACGTCTTTGCAAAGATTCTAAAATGCAGACGTGAAGAGGTGAGTTTTTATGTCCCTCTTGAACTTGGCCAGGGTATTTGACTTCCTAATAGCAGATGGTAAGCTATTCCACAACGTAGCCGAAACCCTCCCAAAGCATCAGTAATGGTAGTGACGGAATGGTAGTGACGAAATGCAAAAGTCAAATAGTAAAGAGGCATGCATTGCATCAAAATATTGATTTGAAGTAGGCTCCATTAGTTTCCAGTCGACTATACGATTTTTCAAGCAGTATATCTAATAGGGTATGCAGACAAGATTATAGACGTTTTGAATGCCGTCAAAACCACATACGCATAATCCAGATCGTTGGGTGCTGGAAAGATTATGCTAATCAAAGATAGCAACCGTTATTGACTACCACATCTGACCTTTAACCTTTTACTGCTGTCTGATGTGAAATGTGCCACAGTAACTCACCCTGTGTCCCTTTGGTCCTGGCAGACCGGGCATTCCCGGACGTCCTGAGTTTCCCTGGATAAATAAGAAATTTCTGAGGTGATTAAGTCACTCTTCGAGATACAAATATTTACAACTATGGGTAAACTGTTTCATGAAATATTCGAAAGCTTTGAGTTCGTCTACTTCGCATTGAAAACTTATACAAGGGACAGTTTTACTTGATTTGGTACCAAGCAGCGTCAATTAGTCTTTTTGTGTACATAAAAATATACATGACATCTATAAGAGTATTAGATTGGTAAGAGAGATACTCACAGAAGAACCGATTGGTCCAGATGGTCCTTGTTCTCCCGGCAGACCCTCGTCACCCTGAAATAGAATGAACTAGCTGATAAAGTGCTCAGGGAATACCTCTTTTAAGAGAAAGATGACCGAAGTCGTAAAATGTTAATTTGAAATACAAACTTTGCAGTGTTCTGCATTTTTAGTGTCCTTATTCCGTTGTAGCTCAATGAAAGCAATAATCCACTTACATCAGCCCCTGGTGGACCGGACGGCCCTGGGAATCCTCGTGATCCTATAGGTCCCTAAGGTAATGAGAAAAACAGATTTTGACCTGGATCAAACTCACTTGATATAAATAAGTCATATATAGTCCAATGGAGATTGGTATTTTACATATAGCATTCAGAAAATTGTTACACTTTTCTTTAAATGGTGACATGAGCACACCATATATATGACTTTTATATGATATTATGATGACATGCCTAAGACACTTGGGCATATGGTGGCCAAACATTGTTGAAGATATAACAATAATGTTAAAATCACATCTGACGGTAATTTAAGGTATCAACATGATATGTTGGCGCTAAGGATGGCATCAGAAATATATTTACTGGTGGTCCTGGCTCTCCTGGCTCTCCCCTCATTCCCATAAATCCCTGTGGTCCCTAAACATAAAAAAGAGCATAGATATTCATCTCGGAATTTTATTTTCCTGGTAGCATATCAACATAAATGTTTCGAATTGACTAAGCTGCATTTTATGTGAAATGATGAGCTTGCATGTCTGCTTTCATTGAAACAATGTGATCGCATGATATCCTTGATATATAAATCAGATAAGACTGCTGGAATTTACAACAACTTTACTTTCCTCTCCGTGGACCTGTCTCTGTGCTACATAAATGTATTTGCTCTGACCATTTGTGCTTCGCTGTGCGCAAACCGCCACTTTATTAAAGTCATTGGTGTTTGGGTTGTTAAAGTAAACGCATAGACTCACGTCTTCAACGACGTTAGAGGAATTTAGGTAAAACTTTTTAAAACGATTTGACTCATATACCTGTAGATATTTGTAGAAGATTAATACAACTATAAAAAGGATTTTTTTATATATAAGTTTATTAGCAACAAAACTGATATTTCGGATAGCAAAGGATATTTGGAAGTTTCTAATATTATCTTCTTTTTTTTAATGTTCTATGACCGTGACCCGGGTATCAAAGTTAAATTCTATAATATCTAATAATTCATATTCATTCAGAAACAAATCATCAAGTAGGAACGGGAATGTGCACATGCACACTCATAAGACAATTAAAAAAACCCCCAAAAAACTGAATACTTACACCTGGACCGACCGGTCCCTGGGGTCCGCGAGGTCCTGGAGATCCCTATAGAAAATAGCATGACAGTTTTATAAAAGAAAAGAAACACACATAATTGTTTTCAATATGTTAAATATGTTTACAAATATTGAATATCAACAATCCGTTTTGTATTTACACTTTATATGTTTATATGTTACAGGATCGTTTTTACATAATTCATGGACTTATAGAAATTATTATATGTTTGAACATTTCTCGCAATCACATTGGCCGTAGACTGGTTATCCGGTGAATATCGATTTATAAATATAGCCTATAAAGAAATTCACTGCAACTTGTTGTAGCGCATGCACAGTTAGACCGGAACACGATTTATCATACGACAACAAAAGATGGCTGCTGTCGAACGCTTCGCCTCCGTTATATCTGAAAATGTTCAAAAACTACTCGAAGATACAAATCCTGTTAACACAAACATTTTTACTCAACACTGAGTGCAAGCCTCCATGGAAAATAACCTTGACCATGTCTTCGAAAGCTACGATGCCGAATTGTTGGATACAACCCTGGCTACATTTTACACAGAAACCTTGAGTTTGTTTTAAAATTAAATTCTGAAGTGAACGTTAAAGTATCTACTTACCTGTGTCATTGTGGTAGGAAGTCCAAGCATGGCTGGGCCGGCTTTCTCGTCGGCCACGACACCAATTTTTCCGAGGAGCTGACCATTTTGCATATTATCCTGCTGATAGATTATTGATTTAATCATAAATAATTTCATGAAGCTGTCATTATTTAAAACATATCATATTTGTAGGGTTGAGATTGCAATGCATATGCAAACCTTTTGGGGTTTGTCGAATTTATTTAACTATGGATTCCAAAGATTTTTCAATGTTTAAAAGTAAGACATTATATTCACCATGTTGGTGTTGCTCTGCACGATTAAAAGTTATTGCAATAAATCAGGGGAAATAACTGCGTTTTGATATGCTCTTTATTCCTTCGTTGCAAGATAATGAAAGAATTATTTATTTAGCGTGAGTCTACATAATAATAGAAAGACGAATGTGTACCTGCTTCTCAAATTGTACAGTAAATATATACATTAATAATTGTACTCGATACGTTAAAGTCAATTTACCATATAGATTTAAATTACGTAACTGGTGAAACGTGTCCGTCTCAATTTTTTTTATTCATAACGAATTATATAGCTTTGTTCAGTATATTGCAAGGTATCTTTTGAATTGGTTAGAACTTTTGATATTTATGAAAACTTTTAGCACACGCTTAACACTGAGCAATAACAAGAGCGATTTCAATCTTTCCACTTCATGGGGCTCAGTTTAGGTTTATATCTGACAGAAATTCGTGTTGATATTGTCATTTGGCAAGACAAATCAAAATACATTTCTATTTGTTTCTTTCTAATTATGGTTCGTGTGATATCAAATATTTTATATGACAAAAGTACCATGACCATTTTCTTCTTTACAAAATGCCTACCTTTTTCACGACTCCGGCGCTTTCTGCAATTAAAATAAAGTATTATATTAAAACATATATTCTTGTTGAAAATTAATAAATTACTTTAAATTGCTCTTGATGTTTGTGTTGGCAAAGCTTCAGTTGATTAGAGAAGAAACGCAAGTATCAGTAAGAACTTTTAGTGTGACAATGCTGCGGTTATTTTACATTTTGTGAGCATTTTGTATTTAACCATGATGTTTGACATTTTAACAGAATTGTCCATTTACATAGTATGTAGTACTATATACATATCGGTTTGGCGATAGAATGCAATTCCCGACCAAGAAATTTTAAACTATTGATTTTAGTCAAACTTGTTCGAGTAAGCAGGGTTTTACCTGCACCTCTATGAAATAAAAACAAACTCAGAACTGGTCAGTAAAAGTTAAGATAAACATGTATGTATAATACTGAAAGTGTTTTATGACTCTCATTATTCGAGAAGGTATTAGGAAAATAACGCAAGACAGGTCAATGTTACATTTAGATAATTTCCTTTCAAAATTGAGTGTTGATAACTTACGGACACAAATGGGACAGCATGGTGTCGGTGAATTTTCCACGATATCAAGGTACTGACCCGCTAGGCACTCCACAAATTCACATTGGATCTTATTACAGGTCACTTGTCCATCAAAACACTCGCAAAAATCAAGCACTGAGCATTTACTTAATGATCCTCCATGAGGAATACGTTGGTCGCCAAGCAAGCAGTCTCGCATTTCGGGTTCCAGTAAGCCTGAATAACATTAACAGAAACATGTGTATATGCAATTTAATAGCAAACCTACATAAACAACGTATGTCCTTATTAAGGTGAGATTTGGAGGGGAAAAAGAATTCGTTGCCAAACACTCGGCAACTCGTATCTGCGGTAATTTAATAATCTTTCCCCTCGGGTTAGAATAACCCTATTTCACCTAAAGGGGATAAGAGATTCTATTATTCTTAAAGAATATACCATACAGTACAATAACGTGATATTAATTTAAAGAGGTACAATTTGATACAAACTATCGTCTTGCCAAGGCAATTTAATGTACTCTCTAGCGTATAATTTTGTTACGAAATCATATTCAGTACCGTTGATAAAATTTTCGTTACAACATTACAGATAAAACACCCATTGTAACAGCGCTCTTTCAGCATTTCAAAATAAATTTTAATTGGAAAATAGTTTAAAACAACAATGGCAATTCTGAGGAAACGTGCAGCAGTCTATTTTACTATAATCACATTTTTGCAATTAAATATTTGAAGTCATAATAAATTCAAAAAAAAAACACACGCTTTCTTGTACTGTTAAAAAACATGAATAATAAGCAATACGATCATTTTGATGCAGCATGTAGCGGTTATATTTCATTTTGTTCTCATAATTGCATTAATCGAAGACTTAATAAATTCCGGAAAATAATCCTATTCAAAAATGCTTCGTTAATGAAACTATATCATCAACACTCTATTTCACTGCTTAGCTAGCGCCGTGACTTTCAAGCTATTATTCGTAAATCTAAATAAAAATGAAGTTACTGAGTATTTCGTTGCGCAACGCATATTGTAAACAGATAGACATTTGTTGTTTTAAAAGAAAAATTGTAAATACTAGTTTTATTGTCATAAATGCATTAAAGGAGTCACGATAGAACAAAAACATGACGTCACACTCTCTCGTAGAATTTCAAAGTTACATTTTTTACAACATAGCTCGCTCAAAGATTTGTGACTTATGATATAAGAGAACAGCCTTACTACTGAAATTCACGTACTTTAAATACATTAAAGGTCCATTAAGGTGTATTTTATGATTTATACATTTTTATTCTAATTTTTGCTTTTATCGTTTTCATACATTGATTCGTTTCCTATTTCCCCCTAAAAAAGATTGGAAAATATTGGACACAACTCCAAATTGGTGCCCCATTATATCTATAAACGTTTTTAATATAAACACATTTTTTTGCCTTAAAACACTGAATACCCGTATGAACTTGTATGATTTGCCTACTAGTTTTGTTTAGAATGTACTTGTATGAAACCTAGTTTTGTTCAGAATGTACTTGTATGAAACCTAAGGCTAGTATTGTTCTGGTCTGGTGGAAGAATAATTCTGTCAGCCAATCAGCTTCCCAGTATTAAATAGAAATAGAATAATTCACATATAAAAGTAAATATTTTTGTTGAAATGAAATAACACTACAGTGGGTGTAAATCTTGTCATGAGATTCATTGATATGTTTATATATGAAGTTACCACAGAGAGTAAACATGGTTTAAATATACAAGTGTATTCCTAACATTTAGACACATGGCAGCTAAAAATAGTCGGTAGTAACGAACAGGTGCTCTATTAAAAACATGATGGTTATAGACAGGTTGTAGACATAGACTTCTATAGCCAGGTAGTATATGAAGCTATGTAAATTTGATAGACAGGTGATAGTTACAGATAAGTTTTCTGCCAGATCAACAGTAAAATGGTTATTTACGTATCGGATTTTTTATGATCTTTGACAAGGACCTTGAAAAGGATAATATGACAAGCTTGCTTGATTCTAATCGCTTCTCATAAGCATGGTAATAAAGTATTACAGAATAATCTTCAATCACACATCTCTATGGTCAGTTACTCTTAATCAATTTTATTGCACAAACATACCATATGTATCTTCCAAATCTTGAGCAATGATAACCTTGTTCAATTTCACGCGTGTAAACTATATATCTTCTAAACCTTGTTCAATTTCACGCGTGTAGACTATATGTCTTCCTACCCTCTTAACCTTGTTCAATTTCACGCGTATAGACTTCACGCGTCTTCCTCTCTTTCTTTCATTTTGCCCTTTGTGTTTTCTTAACCTTATTCAGTTTCATACATTATTTACGTGTTGTCAAACCTCGTTCTATTTAATTCATATATCCTTTGTCTGTTCTTTGCAAGTTGTTAAATTTGACAGATATATCATATATGTAACTCCTTTTCTTTTTAAGGTCACGCGTAAATCACGTGTCTCTTCCAAACCGTCTATCGTGTCAAAAATGATAATAAAAAAACAACTGTCAATTCGTGACGACAAAACTTAACTTCAGAGTGGCACAAAATCAGCCCCCATATATAATAAACATGTACACTGTGTTTTTTAGGTCAGACATTTACGTAGCATACAAGAGGTTTGACATTGTGATAAGAAAAGGTCAGCATCATTGCTTTCCCGAGGTTAATAATAACTTTAATATTTATCAAGTTTCTCTTAAATGCAAAATTTGTAGCGATTACTCTATCTTAGATTTTATCAATAGACACGATTGCTATAAAAATAACTATTTATTGAATATTTCATCGACAAAGTCTCGAAATTTAAACATATTTACATTGTGTTGATATGATTTACAAAATGGTTAATATAACAACCATGTCACGTATACCATAAAGAGTATCACCTGAAAAGGGTTAATAGCAATAGTCTCCCGCCTTCATCAAATGGAAAGGATGTGCGTTTGCATAAGGATTAAAGTTTAGCAATTAAATCATCATTGTTCTTTGTCTTGTATTTTGTGTAATGTAATTGTTAAGTTTTGTACCTTTACAAATCACATTGTCCCACATATTTATGATATGAAATTGGTATTAATAGACCACCTGTTGGAAGTTGAAAGAGGCAGTCATTTGAAGCAGATGGTCTCACAATACAGATACGATCCACAATAAAATTACTACAGCGGGTGACCATTAGTGGGGGTCTCTGCACGCAGTCGGTATTCTAATGGAGGTGGTCATATGCGAACCTGTACTTAACTATTTGTTTCATTATGAAGCGTAGAAACAAATCATCTCAGTTGTCGGCATCAACCGAGTAAAGATGTCTGTCAGTTGTAAGTTCTCATTTTCTATTATCGTGTACAAAAGGTATAGGTCAAGTGTAAAATGAGTGTTTGTATTCCTTCAACTTTTATGTTCCCGGTCCATATGTATGTTACAGTATATCTATGCTATGTCAACATTATCTTGTCCTAATTTCTAATAGCAGTATCATGTGACTAATAATTACTAAATTAAACAGCTGTTGATAGCAATTTAATTATTTAGATATTTGAAACAAAAACAACTTCCTCAAAGTACCGGAAGAAGAAAAACTAATGATAGAAAAACCGAAAGTGGAGAAATGATTAAAAAAAAACCTTTGTACTGATGACAAATATACATATTTATAATATTACATAAATTTTATCCCTAAGACGAAAGCTATCAAATGGACGTGTAGATCTTCTTAAAAAGTGTCATAATCACCACTATCCAAAAGTCATTGATAAAGATAATACCAAACCAATATTGAATGTGCAATGATACCCTGTACTCTTATCATAGCCGGAAGTGGTCCGTGAAATTAGATTAACTTATCTGTAAAACGGGGTTTATGTTTAACGCTGCGGCGTGAAGTGCTCCTAGATAGTGATCAGTAGTGCATCATACAATAGAGATTATCGTGAAGTTTACTTACAGGAAGTATGTTTCCAGTGATAAATTAATCCTGCATTTCAATGCTACAACCCGTAGAGATTAAGCTATATAATTATATTGAACAATGACCTTCACGAAGTCAGACGTGATAAAACGCCCGTGTTATTGATTGATTGAGATGAGAACAACAATTTATTGGTGCAATATGAAAATAAAGTTAATTAAGGTCACGTCAGTCATTTTGTTTCAATTGCGCAAACAGTGTCCTTTGCCATGCTAAAAAGTGTGCTAGTACCATGACTCATTATTACTGATTGGGTATAAATGAATGCTTACAAGATTTTACTAAGTGTTCATATCATGAAACTTATATTCGAAGATTATGATAAATAAGGGAAGAGTCTTCGGTCTAAACGTTTTAACTGCACGGTCTGATTTTGAAAATGAAAAACAAAGACACTGAAAGAATTTGCTAAGTCAACGTATCTGAATAACTGTAAGCTGTGAAAGGCGACGTGGCACTTTCAGGAAATACTTCAATTATATGCAACGCAACCAAAAGTAGAAAAAAGAGTTATTATAGTTATCTAAAAGGGTTTGAAATAATTTAGCAACTGACAACATCACTAAAATATCAAAGGTAATCACTTAATAGAAACTGATGATTGTTTCACTTAAGGGGATGTCCGCCATTTTGAATGACAAATATGGCGGACACCAATTTGCAAACGTGGCACTACAAAAAATACATATTCATAGAAAGATTATTCTATAATGACATTTTGACAAGGAACTGACTGAAATTTGATTAGTAACTTGAAGCAATATTATGAACATGTTATTTCCATGAATAGGAATGACAAATACACCAAATACACATTTTGTTAACGTGGCACCTCATTATTTTTAACAATTTGTTTGGGTGAATCAATTTTGATGTTGATATTTTACAAGGAAATATATTGTAATATTTGGCTTCTAAAATATTGAAAACTATGGCATAATTAGACAAGAGTACATTGTCTCAACATGTCAAAAGAAAATGTATCATCTGTTACGTTGTAATTACAATCAAATTATAATTACATTAAAATTATCACAAAAGAAGGTATTTTATCTCGCATATTATATGATATAGCCGAGCATAATACAAAGCTGACAAAGTCATAGCTCCGTCTTCCGATAATCCTTGATGTTTGAACGGATTTTAACCCCATACAAACAAGCATAGTCATGGTATGATGGCAAGTAAACATGACCAAGATTGGTCATGATATGGTGTAAAATTTTAGTAAATGACAAGGACAAAGTAACACAATATGCGAAAAGAGTTGAATACAAATTTACTAATTCAACGAATTATTAAATTCACAGACTGAAATGTTCAATAAATGATCAACAAAACGGTTGCTCAAATAAATTCAACACCAAAACGTCTTATAAACTTTGAATACATATCACTAATTTGTCTACACCAATGTTTAAACACATTGTGACATAATATTTGCATTATTCCATGATTTGATATAGCAAGACAAAGAATTGTGAATGAAGGCAATACGTTAATGTGTTAGTATTGTTTGATACGTACCATTTCGTTCGTAGTTAATCCTTTGTGCTGATATTTTTCCAATCATACATATGAGCAGAATGCCCCATCGTACGTGTTCGTACGATGTCATTTTGAGCTAATGAGTGTTCTTTCCTAACTATCTACTGCATTTATAGGGGAACAGTAGAAAAATAGAATTATCTGTCCAGATTGAAAGACTTGTTGGTAGAAAAAGCCTGAATACTCAGGCCTTTTAAACACTAGGAAGAGCCGTGCTGCTTTTGAAGAAAAAGCAACACAGGACTCCTAGAGCGACGTCGGAGATATTGAGTCTAGTACCGTCGACCAAAAAGCCAGGCGGCTAGCCCTCAAATGTTTGCGATGATAAGTCAGAATTGTATACGGTACACATGCGCTAACGGCCAATCAGTCTCCACAACTGTGACCTAGGCTACCACTCGTTCGCTGTTCCCCGAGCCTGTTTCCAGCATCTGCAACCCGTTCGTAAGATGGATGGACGTTCGGGCCAGCTCGGTTTCAATTATGCAAAGTTATATGAGTGGTAAAAACACAAGCTTGCACACTCCACTTGGGTGTAACGTGATACCATTTCCCTGTATAAGTCGTATACTTTACTTGTATTTGATAAAAGCTTGTTGAGTGTGAAACAAATTATTGCCATGGAGACGTGGGTTGGAGCTTGACCTGGGTTGACCCTGCCGTAAAACCGTTATTTAAACCAGTCGCGTCTCTGTGCCCGTCTTATGAGCCCCGTTTGTCTAACGTAACTTGTCATTTTACGAAGTGGGAAAATCGCATCAGTTGCCGATGTAAATTTTCGCTTCGTCAACCTTTCTCATATTTGTGGAAGACGTTAGTCTTGAAACAAATAAACCAATCCCGTACTTAAGTTGTTCGATTTTTGCATACGAGACAAAATATATATATTTTACAATATTCCAAAAAATAATAACGATTATCTTTATTTTTTTTATTACTTTCAGCCCGACTGTGGTCTAAATTCTTCAATAGTTTTATTTCGTGTAATTATACGAAAACATATGTATCAAGATTATTAACAATTAGCTTCTATAAAACACTGTTAAGACGGAGGATAATTTTATTTCGTATAACCCGTTGAGCAATTCCTTTGAAAGATGTTTCAATAAAAACAGCTTGTACAACTAAGAAAATGACTGAATATACAAATATAGTTTGCTATCACTATAACCGAAACCGTCAGCATACTATTTTGTTAGATGCTTTTAAGCAATTACAATATTCATACTTGGTCAATGTGTTGATTCATGAGAGTTTACTGTATTGTTTATGATAAGAAAAAATATTACAATCTGAAGTTTTATTGGCTTTGCGATACTAGACATTTCACATACAGGAAATAACGAACTAGGTGAAGTTGTGCCAGTTTTCTTGACTGGTTATTTTTGTGAAGCAGACAGAGTAACACGGAAAATTCAGAATCATGCTTATCGACTATTTTTGCCTGCTTCTAAAATTTAACTTGTAACACACGTACAGCGACACTTATCAAACCACCGTCTATAAAAGTGTTTTGCGTATAACCTCTGGCACTGAATATAACGTGATGTATCACAATGAGAGGTTTCTCCAACAGTAGCCAACACTTAGTACAGTTGATTCTGGGGTGGCCACAACACCTGTTGATTGAAGATATTTTAAAGAAGCATCATTACGTTGACATTATTGTGATGAAGCTATATATATTGTAACTTTATTATGTTGTCACTTTTTATGGTGTCATAATTAATAATTAATTAAAATGTCACACTATTTGTAAATACATCTTAAAACTCTCTCTCTTTCAATTAAACAACTGTACTAAAATATTTTTTATAGACAATATTACTATACCGTTGCGCATTTATCCAGATATGAGACTAATACAAAAATAAACAGTGTGACGGAAGCTGCTGTTTCCCGAAAATATAGCTCAGTTAAAACGAGGCTATTGCTACAGTTTGAGAAATATTTCAGTTGAGTGGTGTGTTGAGTTGGTATATGACCTTGATCCCTCTTTTTCTTTGATATCGATTTACGTATTGAATGGGTAGATAAGAGTTTGCATTCCATGGCAATACATGGACTTAACCCTTTTGTCCATTCTGTAACTGTATGTTCTGGATAAGCGAAGTTATAGTGCCTCATATATATATTAAATAAACAATATATTCTTATGTATTTCCTTATAATCAATACTATGTTGTGTAGGTTTGGCGAAAATATATCTCTTATTTGTTATGCAACTAACTCATATAATCAACTTCTATCGTTTTCGTATATAATGTAAACATCCGTATATATATAGCTAGGTTTGAAAAATCACGAGTAACATTAACTGAGTTCCTATGTAAAATAAATGGACCATTAATATGCCAGGATATCTCGTGGCTCAGTAGGTAGTTATATGGTCCCCGCACAGTGATCCGAAGCCAAGATAAGAAAACCCTTCACGACATTACGCGTCAACTGAGTTTCAACCATAAAAAACAATCATTCTGACGTGGAACACATGGTTTCAGGAGTTGATGTAGACAACTAGACTGTTCCTCTTTGCCATGTTCGCATGTTTCCTATCGGGAAGAAAATGTTGCAAAAAAAATCATGATTTGTGTGTGCAGTTTTGACAGCCGCCCACAAAAAGCGAGACATGGGATGCAAAGCGGTGTAAACCGCCATACGAAGGAAGTAGACATATGACGCGCATTTCCTGTACAATAAGCGCACTGTTGTATAAGTGTTATTATGTTTCATGATTTTTGATATGCTTGCTTCCTCGAATAAAATTAATTTGCATTGTAATAGGAGGAGTTTGGTTATGTACGAGCTGTATAGATCAGATTCTTGTATTAATAAATCGTTTTAACTTTCCTTATAGAAAACACACACTTTAATAGTGGAGCAACATCCCACAATCAACTGTATTGTCATTAGTCTTATCATTGTTAGGGAATTGCTTTTATGATATACAAATGCGTCTACAATAATATGTAAGCAACAGCTTAAACGAATAATACTAATTTATAATATTTCATTAAAAAGAACATTGCTAGGATGTGTTTGGATGTTTGGTCTATCAAACCGTTTGTAAATAAAGATATTAAATAACATGATTCCAATTCCACCCCTACAGCCTTCTTTTAATAAAATAGGCGTTACATTAAAACTTCTGCTGTTAGAGAATTGTATATGATCGGCCCCATTGTCTAAGTCCATGAAGCTGGGGGCATCATGGCAGATGTTTACCAACAAAGCATGACCAATTTGACTACCAGACAATACATCTGATCCTTTCATCTGTGTCCATCCATTAAACATGTTATTTAGTTTCCTTTGAACATTAAACCACACGGTTTGATGTAGACCTTTATAACGTGTTGCAATGCTGTTAACAACTACCTTACTCACAAAAAATACACGAGTTAAAAAATGTGCAGACCTGGTAATTTTGTTTCTGCTCATGATTAGACGCGATAAACTTTCCTTTTGTTTTTTATTTATTGCTATCATCAAACTCTATGCACTTGACGTTTTAATCGACTTTGATACATTCATGAAGATGGCAATGACCTCGGATATATTCTTCTGTGTCTATCACGACTATACCAATGTCGGAGCGTTCTGCAGATGGAAGCCACATGGACCAGTAAAGAAGGCTCCATGTAAGACTTTTACTTTCGGGTCAAGAACCTAGAAAAGAAAGAAAACAGGATCTAGGTCGAAATCAGGCGATACGATCTAGGCCATAGATAATGTCTAGATCGTTGACATACATCTTCGAAGATAGGAAGTAAACGATTGTTTTATCATATAATGAACTGTCACATGGCATTGTCTTGATTGCTGATGCTTTATGGTATATATTTATAGAACAATACGATGCTGAATATCATGACAGATATCAAATATGGCGCAAGAGTTCTATGTTTTATCGATCTCCTTAATAGACGCTGTGATATATTTTTCTGTTTTACTTTCTATGGGATTCAAACTACATATTTATCACGGAATATGACACTGTTTTCAATGAACAACGATAAAATGGCAAGATTCAGCGATTCGTTTGCGTTTTCTATCAGACGAAATGAGAAACTAACATACCAATGAAAAGCATTCATTAACTTCTGATAACATCTCTGAACGTTTTCATTTATTTCCGTGTGTGTTGTCGATATATACATGTGTATACGATTTGTTCATGTTGCTTTTTTAGTTACAAAATGTAAGATGCACTGCATAGATATTCAAAACCTTGCAATCTCAAATAATTAAGTGTTTCTGATAAGAAGAATCCATAACGCGCCAGTCACGATCCTAACTTCAACAGGAAATATATAAATATATGCTTACTAACTTCTCAATTTCAAGTGATCACAGAGTATATATTTTTCTTGTAAGAAGGAATGATTAGAAATTTATAAAAGGACGGCAAGGGTCGGTTTTGTACAGTTTGACTCACAGGGGCATGGATCGCTTTACTTGTAATATAAAAAAATATAGGGGTCTATTAGTATAGGAGACCCCTATTTTTTTTATATTACAAGTAAAGCGATCCATGCCCCTGTGGTTTGACTTACCTATTTAACAATTCTTGGTTATTTCCAAGTGGTTGTTATATACAGTGTATGGAAGTATTAACAGTATGGCGTGTTACTTTATGTAACGTATTCGTGACGGGTCACACTGCTATCGCCCAAGGAAATTTAAACGTAAATGTGTCGAGTCAACGATATTTACAGTCAGGCATTGTAACAAAGAAAGTTGCAACAAAAGATAAATGGTATTTCATGACTATTAATACTTATAATAGCCGATGTTTCAACAACTAAACGTCTTTTAGAATACTTTGGACATGACTGTGACAGTTAATATCACTGATGAGTACTAAATGAACGAAATTGCATTATGGTAAAGTAAAACACGACGTACTAAGTTTGATTTTCTGCAACGGAAACTTTAATTTTTGAAATACATTACAAAGGTCTAGATACAACATCCATTGAAACATTTAGAAAATGGATCAACATATAAAAGATGGAAAGTTATCGAAACTGATATTTCTGTATAAGAGAGGTGCGGATCGTAACTCTTAGTAGGCTCTGTTCAAATCGTGATTTGCTGGCACGGCAAAATATTAAGCCCGCTAACTCGCTCGTGTCTTTAGCACGAGGGACTACACATATATGCTTACTAGACAAAATGTGCCCATATTCTATTAATTTCCAAAATCTCCGTATTCTTTTAAGTTCTTAAAGTTTTAATAGCATGTATAATTTTTACAATACGTAATAATCACTTCAATGGCTTGTTGAACTCATAAAAAAGCAATTAACAACTTCCTGTATGTTTAACTATATCCACGACATACCCGATATATTCACCATCTTGTTCACATTGCACGGTCGATTTAGGGTCGTCGAACTTACATAGAAGTATGTTTCTTGCATTAAGTTGATAGGACACTTACACAGCAGTATAC